TAAATTATTTATATTTAAATTCTAAATTAACTTAATAATAAAAATAAATATAAAATAAAAACTGTTTACAATATATTACTTATAATTAAATTAAACATTAAAATAATATTTTTATATATATATTAATAAAATATAAAATAATTAGGTAAAATTATTATTATAAATAAAAATTGCATATAATAACTTTATAAATAAAAATATAAAAATATCCTTATTTAAAGTAAATATTAATTATAATTTTATCATTACGAAATTAATTAATATAAAAAAAACATTTATATTTAAGATAAAGGTTATAATAAAATAAGTTATTATTATGTAAAAATATTTAGTAAATAAGCTTAGATTTTTATAAATAAAAATAAAAAAATATAGTAATTAATATAAAACCGAGGGATTAATCTTTAAAAAAGGAAATAAGATTTATTTATTATAATAAAATATTAAAATTAAAAGATTAAGTAATAAATTAAATTATAAAAAATTTAAACTATTTAAAATTGAAAAAGTTATTTTAAAAATTAATTATAAATTATTATTATTAATAAAAATAAGGTTATATTTAATATTTTATATTTTTTTATTAGAAAAAGCATTTGAAAATACGTTAATATAAATTATTTTAAACGTTAAAGTTAATTAAAAATATAAAATTAAAAGAGTATTAAACTTTAAACGATTTAGAAATTAAATTAAGTATTTGGTTAAATAGAAAAATTATTTATTAAAAAAATATATAAGAACTTATTAAATACCTTAAAAATACTTAAAAGCTTATAAAAGCGTTTTACTGGGAAAATTTTAACCGCTTATAAATAATAATAAATTTATCTTTAAGTTAAAACTATTTTAAAAGGTAGTAGTTTTATTGGGGTTACCCTTGGAAGAATTAGGAGATACGGATGGACTAGCTTAATTAAAAGCATTTTAACTTTTACTTTCTTTTTTTTTCTTTCTTACGATCTAGTTTTACTTTATGCTTAAAGATGTAAAAGGCTTTACCTTTAATAATATCCTCTTTTTTATAAATTTCCTTTAAATAAGAAATGTGCTTTAACATTTTTTCTTAATATTAAAAAATATATTTAAAAATGTTAGAAATTTTTTTTAATATCATGTTATTACATTTTTAATTTGCAAATATTTATTTTATAAAAATTTAACTTTTTACTTTAATTTATTTAAAAGATTTATTTTTTAAACGTTATAATTAAAATATTAACTTTTTTTAGGTATAAATATTATAAATTAAAAAATTAAGCAAAAAAATATAAAAGGACTTTTTAAAATGCTTATAATTAAAATATAAAATTAAAGTAATATTAATAAACTTAATATAAAAAAATATAATTCTTTACTTTTTTATTAATTAATACGGTTTTTACACTTTACAATAAACTTAAACACGTAATTTAATATTTTAATAAATTAGCCCAGAAAGTAAGAAAAAAAAGGAAAATAAATATAAAAAAATACTTATTAATAAATTTTTAAAGATAAAAAACTTAAAAAAAGGAAAATAATATTATAAATTAATAGTATAGGAATTATATTTTATATAAAAACAGGGATTTTAAAACATATAATTAAAAACGAATAAACTTTAGTAATTTTAATTAAATTACCAAAATTATTAAAATTATAAAAGCTTTAAATTAAGAATAAAAAAAGTTTATAAAATATTTAAACTAATATATATTTAATTATTTATTTACGTTTTTTAATTATTAATTTAAGTTTTATATTTAATTTATATAAAAGGGAAAGACTTTAAACCTTTTTAACGAACACTTTTAACGTTTTATTAACATTTAACCCATATTATTACTGTTTATTTAAAATTAAGACCCTTATTATTATACTTTAACGGACTTAAGTGTAAGTTCGTCACATAGTATTTCACATTTCCTTATTAAAAAAAGCATTTAAAAATGCTTTAATACAAATTACTTTAAATACTAAAATTAATTAAAAATATAAAGTTAAAAAAATATTAAACTTTAAGCTGTTCAGAAGTTAAATTAAGTATTTAATAAAATAAAAGGATTATTTATTAAAGGAAAACATATAAAAATTAATTAAATACCTTAAAAACGCTTAAAAGCTTATTAAGGATTTTTATTAAGAAAATCTTAACCGCTTACAAATAAAGAAAAACTTAAATTTTAATTAAAACTTTTTTAAAAGGAAAAAACGTTAATAGCATTAAATAAGTTAAAAGGGCTTATTATAGTTTAAAAAAAAAGATTGTCCTAATTTTTTTCTACAATCCTTTTCTCTTTTAAATAATTTAATTTTTTTTATATTAAAAAACAGTAAGCATTTTTACTTTTACTAAATCTTCCTTTTTATAAAACTTTTAAAAATATATAATATATTTTAAAAGATTTTCTTAATATTTTTTAATATTTTTATAAATATAAGTTACAATATCCTTTTTTAATTATTTTAAGCAATTATTTAAAACTTTTTTAAGCTTTAAGATTTTATCTTTAATTTTATAATGCTTTAATTTAAAATTATTTAATTTATCTTATAAATTAGATAAAAAATTCATTATAATTATATTATAATTAATATAATAACTTTTTTAAATATAATAATTATAAAAATTTAAGTTAAAAAGGAAAAAATAAGTAAATTTATTTAAATAACAGTAATTAAAATAAAAGATATAAAATATATTAATTAATTTAATTTATAAAGTATAAAGCTTTTAACTTTTTTATTAATTAATATAAGTACGGTATTTTACAAATAATTTAAACATGTAACTTAATATTTTTAAAAAATAATTAAAATTATAATAATAAAATAAATAAAGAAAGAAGAAAAACTTATTAAGTTAAGGTTCTTTAAGGACGAAAGATTTAGGAAAAAGGGAATAATATTATAAACTAATAGCTTAAAAAACTATTTTATAATAAAAAGCGGGGTTTTACGCTGTTAAAACCGGAAAAACCCTTAAAATATATAAAAGAAAATATTAATTTAAGTAATTTTATAAATTTAATAAAATTTAATATTAAATTTAACTAAATTAATTAAATTAATTAAATTTTAAGATAATAATAGCTTTAAGCACAATAAAGGGTTTATAAATATTTAAAGCATTATATATTTAATTATTTATTTATATTTTTTTAACTATTAATTTAAATTTTATATTTAACTTATTGTGACGAACCTACACTCAGGTCCGTTAGAGTGTAGTAACAGGGGTCTTGATTTTAGGTAAACAGTAGCGATACGAGTCAAGTGTCAATAAAAACGTTGAAAGTGTTCGTCAGGAAGGCTTGGAGTCCTTCCCCTTATATGGGTTAGATATAAGACTTAGATTGATAGCTAGGGAAATGTAAATGAGTGTCTAGATACATGATGGCCTTCTTATAGTCCAATTGCCTACTCTTGTTCTGCCTCCCTTGAGGGTATCGTGATTTGGTTGATTTGGGTGATTTGGTTGATTTGATCAAATCAATCAAATCAGTCAAATCAGTCAAATCGTACGAGACCTAGTCCACAACCGGGGTTTATCCGTTACCCTGGGAGATCCCCGCTCCCGTTGCCTGGACTAGTACGTTTTCTGATAGATGTTGGTTCGTAACACTTATATAAGGAAAAAGATTTTAAGCTTTTTTAATAAATACTTTTAACGTTTTATTAACACTTAATCCGTATTACTATTATTTACTTAAAATTAAGACCTTTATTATTATACTTTAACGGACTTAAATGTAAGTTTATTACATTTAATTAATTTAATTTAATTAATTAAATCCTAAAATAATAATAACTTTAAATATAATAAAAAATTTATAAGATATTTAAATTATTATATATTTAATTATTTATTTACACTTTTTTAACTATTAATTTAAATCTTATATTTAACTCATATAAAAAAAAGATTTTAAACTTTTTAATGAACATTTATAACGTTATATTAACATTTAACTTATATTATTATTATTTACTTAAAATTAAAACCCCAGTTATTACATTTTAACGGATTTAAATATAAGTTCGTTATATATTAGTAAATATTAACGTTTAATAGACTTTTAATAATAAATTAAATTTAATATTTAAAAAAAAGTTAAATAATTTAAATGTTTAAAAATGTTTTTTTATTTTTGTTATTTTAATTTAATATATTTTAACGTACGTATATATTTAAATAAATAATAAATAATTTAATAAAAAGTTTAATTAATTAAATTTTTAAAATTATTTATATAAAAGCTTTTTTGTTAAAAAAGTAATTTTTTTCGAAAAAAAAAGTTTTTAACTTTTATTTAATTAAATTATTATAATTAAAATTTATTATTTTATAATTTTATTAATAAGTACGTACGTAAAGGTAAAAACAATTATTAGTAAAGTAATAATAAGTAAAGCAAATAACGATAAAGTGAAATTAATGTATTAATAATATTTAAGGAAGGAAGAATTTATCTAAGGTTAATTAGCAGTGTAATGTCCTTTTATATAATAATAGTAAGTACATTGTTCTTTTTTCCAATATTAGCAATAAAGCATTTTATCGGAAATAAAGTACTTACATGTCGATATTACATAACCATTAAATTTATTATTTTATAATTTGTTATTTTATAGTTTTATTATATAATATTATAATATTATAAAATTGTAAAATTTTTATTAATTTTAAAATTTTATTATTTTTAATTACGTTTATACGTTTATATTTTTTTATTAACTTTTATAATTTCCATTAACTTTTATTAGTTTTTTTATAAGCTTTTGTAATTTTTTTTTATAAACGCGTAAACGTTTAAAATTAATTTAAATAATTAAAAAATTAAATTTTTTATTAAATTTTAATAATTTAAATGGTGAAAGATGGTAAATTAACGGTTTACAAGAACCAGCAAAACCTGGTATAGTACCTCTCCTATAACAGGTACCTAGGTATTGCAATATATACCTAGGTACTTACATATTTACGTATACCTGCACGTGAAGTCAAGAAAAATATCGTTGAATTATGGAATTGGTAGTTCGGATGAATAGGGCATCTTATCTCTTTCGCATCAATTTACAATTCTTACGTTCTTGAGCAATAACTGATAGGAGCAATACGATCGCTGGCCTATTTATATCCAGCCCCAACTTCTTAAACTGAAAAAGACATTAGGATCAAGTCAAGTATTATAGAACCATGCCAAATTATAAGGCCTACAAATGCTCATGCTATGTCGATATTGAGGATCTTGATATCCTCCTCGGGCTTCTCTTTGTACGTTCGAACGTTCTCTATCTTATGGATCACGTCTAATCCCTGTACCGCTCTCCCGAATATTGTATGCTTATTATCGAGCCATGGCGTCTTCTCCGTAGTGATGAAGAACTGGCTTCCGTTGGTATTTGGACCAGCGTTCGCCATGCTGACAGTATAGGGCTTGTCGTGTTTGAGCGTGCTAAATTCGTCCTCAAACTCTTTCCCCCAAATACTCTCACCACCTGTACCGTCGCCTAAAGGATCTCCTCCTTGGATCATGAACTTGCGTATTACCCTGTGGAATATAGTATTGTTATAGTATCCACGTTTGGAGTGGGTTACAAAGTTCTCAACGGCCTTCGGCGCAGCGTCGGGGAAGAGGCGAATGTGGATATCTCCGTACGTTGTATGAAGTATGGCTGATGTGCCGGTTTCGGCCGTCTTTTTCTGAGTGGCTTTCTTGAGGTTTAGTATCGTTGGTTTCTCATTTTGGACGTCTCTTTCTGATCTGGATATCTCCTCGTCATTCGTGAACATATAAAAGCGAACCTTTCCCACGGCTGTTGTAAAGAGTATCGGGTCTCTTGCCTCTGACTCCTGTAAGAGAGGATTACTTGAAGCAGCCATTGCTACAGTTGTAACACCTTTCTTTTGGGGTTGTCCCTGATATATAGCGAGGTTAATCGGGCGCAAATGTTCGTCCTTCCCGTACACCTTCACGACTTGGTTGGTATATGTGTTGAGCACTTTAACGCCGAGAATGGAGCCGTATAAAATGAAATGCCCTGACTCGTCAAAAATAACGTTGACCTTGTTCCGAAGTAAGGGAGATTCGATCTCGCGCTCCGCAGCGAGTCTTCTTCCAAAGTCGACATCATCCAGCTTTTGCATCGCGGTCCCGGCTTGTTGCATCTCTTCAATGACCCGTAGAGACTCGTCATAAGTCCGATATAGTTTAGCCGAGGCAAATTCGAAGACTCGAATCTTACGGTCAGGCATGGAAAAGGTGACAAATTGATGACCTGAGGGCGATATCGTTAAAGAAACCGGCATCGACTTTGCTTTCTTGAAATCAAAGAGATTGGTTGAGCTCTTGTATTGGAAAACGTTGTCCGGCTTCTCGTAGTTAGCGCTTGGTGACCAGTACTCGAGCATTCCGTTATCGTCGGCAGATACCACGCAGTCGTAGCTGTCATTGAAAGTCATTATCGACACGGGGCTCCTATGCAGGCCCTTGATAGTATGTATCGGAGTTTGGTTCTCTCCTCGGCCGTCATATATGTATATCAATGGTTTTGTGTCGTCCGAGACAGCTAGCAGTGGTAAGGAGGCGCCAAGCTTGTGAACCCAACAGACGCACTTAGGGATATATTCAAGGGGAAGCATGGCAAGGAGGTCAAAAGTGATGACATCAAATATCTTGATAGTCTTGTCAACGCCAGCTGTCGCAAAGCTCCGCCCGTCATAGCTGACTGAGACTGACCGTATTTCGCCCTGATGAGCCTTGAACTCCTTTATGAATTCGATCCCTTGCTCAATCTTCTTCCAGAACTTAACTACGCCATCGACAGAGGTTGTGATAAGGAAATCAGATCGCGTAACATTTACAAAAGAGAGTTGCTCCTTATGCATTAGAGATTTTGAGTAACGCGCTGATTTCGGTAGGGCTTCGATGTAGAGCTTTTCGTGCGGTAAAACGCGTCGTTTCTTCTTGGGTGCCTCTGTTGCAGAGGGCAGCTGGGGTCCCATATCATCATCCGAGGAGCTGTCTAAGTGTTAGGTAGGAAGTCAGTTATGTTATCCGCGCATAATTTCCGGAGGGTCATACCGTCGCCATTATTCTCAACAAAATCAGAGTGACTCCTCTTGTTATTTACTTCGGCCATCTTTGTAGACACGGGCCTTAATGAGGTTATCGTTTAGGCGCAGTTAGTTGAAGAGAAAAGAAAAAAAAAGAATTAGAACGTTGTAAAGTTATAAATACTAGGCGCGGCTTTCGATTCAGTGCTATGTTAGGTACTTACCTAGGTAGGTTCTGATTAGAGCTCCTACCAATGTAAGGCTGCGAATAGCTCAGAAATTTCCCGGTGCTACCTACATGCTATGGTAGCTTGTAAGCTCCTAATTTAAAGCTAATCTAAAATCAATGGGTTAGGTAAGCCATTCCGTTTCATCGGTCCTTAAGAATTCCGATACACTGATACCTACGGGCAAGCATGAGGTAAACCCCACTACCCCACCTAATAAGTACATAGTAGTGGGTGTTAGTTCGCCCCATCCGCTCCCACAACCTTTAGTGGCATAACTAAGCAGCTAAGGTATGATAAGTTGATAACCCCACGATTTGAAAGGTGATAGGTTGCATACTGTACAGTACTATATATTAGGTACGATATACGATTAGGTACCGAGTTTCTGGACTTTGAGGTTGGTTTATGTATGAGGATAATATAAGAATTTAGGAACTTTAACTCGATTTCTACTAGCGTAGGAATTCCACGATCCAAGCATAGAATTTTAGCATCGGATATAACCCCCATCTTGTATGCCTAACAGGCTAACACCTCAGAGCTTGACCTAAGTAGCAGCCAGGCAGCCAGTTAACGTTCCTCCCTTGTGCGAGAGCGGAAAGCGGGGTAGCGCAGGTATGTAGGTACATTATATCTATACATGATATCAGGTATACATTATATACATACAGTGCTCGATATTCTATTTGCACACAGTGACGCACGTACACTATCCTTCTCTTTTTTCTTTGGAAGCCGAGCTATCGGAGCCCTTGTCCTCCTACTACATACTACAGCCTACGTGATCAATCCCCGGTTCCAGTGCAGAGGGACTTGACCAATTCCAATCATTGTGTGGAATCCGGGACTCACATTCCCGGGATCTTTGCAGAATGTGCGCTTACCATATCCCTTTGGTCAATATCCCCCGTCGTTCTGCCAGCCTTTCTACTGTGCCTAGTCTTGGCCTTATCTTTTGCGCATTACCAGACCAGAGATAGGGAGAGCGAGAGAGGAAAAAAAGAAAAAAGAGAGGGTGTAGCAAGGCCTGGTATATTCGTCACTACTTGTCATTCCTGCAAGCTAGAGCGTTAAGGCACAAGAGCTATATAATATCAATCCTGATCCCGTTTCTGTTCCTAATCCCCCAACCCCGGATCGACCATAAAGTCGCCCTCCCACCATCACGAAACATATTATCTGGCAACCGACTTCTCGGGACTGCAACTGAACTGCAACTGTGCCATCTCATCATTCTTCGTTTCCTGTATTGGTCAGCGAGCCGTGTAACAACCCTCCCCGGTTAAACAGCTGCCTCTCAAACCGAGAGTCCTGCATGTTGAATATGCGCCACAGTCGCCGTCGGAACGAGGGATATTGTGCTCGTACAATTTCCCACACTTAGGCTACTCACCTTCAGTAAGAGTCGTCGGCGTATAATGCCCCGTCCGAAAAGACCCGGCGCACCAGAACCGAGAAGGCGAAGTCGAAATGGATGTTGGTATGTATACCTATCATTCTCACTATTCGGCCTTTTCACCTGCTGTGCTGTCGTGCTAACTCTCACACCAGGCCGTGTAAAAACCGTAAGATTAAATGCGGCGAGGAACGGCCCCACTGCTTAAAGTATATTGCTTCCTTTCTATCTACTTTGCCTGGATGCTTCTACGAGGATCTGCAGTAACTAATAGTTCTTATTTAAAGTTGCCAGAGAACCGGTGAAAAATGTGACTATAGCATTCGTTTGAACTGGGAAGGTCGAAGGGGGAAGCGGCCAGAGCCTGGTACGCTGGACTTCAGCCAGGAAGTTTTATCGCCGCCTTTGCCCGCCAGGGGGTTCAAGTTGGTGCATCAATATCCTTCGTCTGACAATCCAGGAACACGGAGGCTTGAGCCCCTAACCGGTCCACAAAGTCAGCCAAAGCTTGACCGTAGTAGGATGCATTCCCAGATCGCAGTTCCTCCAGACAATCCGTCGTCTACGAGTTTCGGCGGTACGCAGTCCTCACCTGCTACCAAGCGCGCGAGGCTTGCGTCGGACTTTCAGGCTCCTGACCCCCAGTCAGCGCATCCGATCGAGCAGAGGCATAACTCAGCGGCTAGCTCGACTTTGGACTCGAGTGTGGCGTCCTTTAGGTTTACAGTTGGCTCTAGCCTGACATCTGCTTCTCCCCTAACTCCTACCACATCGTCTACATATAGCGATGATGATCAACGCCACGCGAGCCGGAGGCTCTCTGTAAATTCACTTCTGTCGATGCCTCCAGGCCCTCAAGCTTTGCAAGACGACAATGCTAGCCGAGTAAGGGTTAGCCTACCGCCGATAGACACTCGACCACGTGTGCCGGCGGAGGCAACCTATTATGGTATTGACCGCGGTTTTCCAGATCGCGACCTGGGTAAGAACGAAGATGGAATCGCCATTAGTGGGTCATCGCCGCTATTACAACGTGAATTCATCGATGCCCCTTTCGAACCAAGTAATGACCTGGTCTGGACGGAATTTGGGTTTGGGGTCGAGACTAATGAGTTCATTGAAGAGGAGGGGGGATATTATTCAAGGCCAGTTTCGATATATATTCCTCGCAGCCTCGAACCACTTCCAGCACAGTGAGTGAGAACAAGGTGCTTACCTCATAATACTTATTGACATGGTGCTAGATTAATTGATAATCCCATGAGCCTTCTTGTAAGTAACATTACCCTGATGTGCATATATGTCTTGTCTAATAGCCAATAGTATTTCGTGAGTTATATCAGCCAATTCAAACCGGAACTTTGACTTATGTTCCATAATCTAGCATCATTTCTTGAATCATACAGCTCGAGGTGAGTTAACCTTTCCTCCTCAGCTAATTACGGTTAAACTAAATCTTTTTCAAGTTCTTGTTCCCTATGATGACCCTCACGCCAACCCTTTCCGGACAATACTCCCGCAAATGGCTGTCAAGGATGATAACTTGTTGGCACTTCTGCTAGCATATTCCGGTAAGGACGCCCATTGTCCAGATATCTAAGCTCATACTAAGGTAAAACGCATAGCTTCTCATAGAGCACGTGTGTTGAATCATCCGGAGCCTACGATTCGGATTGCCACCTGGGTTGATAATGTGTTCCCCTCTTTAAGACAAGATCTGAACAACCCAAATAAGAGCTTTTCAGATGCGAACCTCGCAACGGCCATTATGCTGGCCTCGCTTGAGATAATTTCACCGAGAGTATTTGGATACGATATGCCATGGCAAAGACATCTAGGCCTTGCGAGAGAACTCATAACTGCGCGTCCAGGTGGCCTTCGTGGATTCCAATCAAACTTCCGCCACGACCCAGTATGTTCTTTCTTGTGGAGTTGGGCTGCATATCTCGATGTTATAGGAAGCCTTAGCGGGGGGCCGAAAGATTCTTCATCAACTTGGATATTCGACTACGAAGTAGACGATATCATGGATGGCTATGACGAGATAGACTGTATCATGGGCTTTACTACGCGATGCATTTATCTTCTTGCCAATATCGCTGATCTGGCTAGAAAATGTGATGTTGAGCGCATCGGCGATGACTTGAATATAAGACAAGACTGGGAACCAAGCAATGAAGTATTAGAGCAGGCCTCGAGGATTGAAGCAGCTATTAAGGACAGCATGGTCCAATCACCGGTGCCTTGCAAGCATATACACAAAAAGGGGGATGTAGAGAAGTGGGATAGGCGGGAGATGGAGGCGACAAATGAGGCTTTCCACTGGGCTGGGCTCGTCCACCTCTACCGCAGGATTATGGGTAAGCCAAGCAAAGACAGATCCGTCCAAGTCGCAGTACAAAAGATTATCGATTGTTTCGGTCGTATAAGACCGGGTGGAACAGCGGAATCTTGCCTTCTGTTTCCTATGTTTACCGCGGGATGTGACGCTACTGATGAGGAACAGAGGGCTTTGGTACTCAAGCGATTCATGACAGCTGAGAACCATGGGATGACTCAGGTAAGAAGTCTAATGAACTTTCTCGTTTTAGGTTGTTGCTCCTAACAGCTTATTTAGATCCATAATGCACGTCGGCTAATGCAAAAGGTTTGGGAGACACAAAGGCCTTGGGAGACGTTGGTAAGCACGGAATTTATTGGATAATGTTTTGACTATTAAAACGAAAGGGCAAATTACTTATTAGCACGCTTGCAAAAATAACCTTTTTTGTAGGTATGAATCTATCAGATAGGAATGGCTCTTCAAGGAGCCAGTCTTAGTCTTGATTATACGTTACGAGGGATGATGCTCGCCAAGGTATAAATGTTTTCGGATTATTAGCGAATAGCTTAGCAATACATACCATTTGAACTATTAAAGACTGGCTTAAATCAAATCCAGCCTTTCGATACCTAAATAAAGGTACTACGTTATAGTACATCTTTGCTGTGAGAAATAAATACCTATTTATTTCTTGTGAATTGAATGGCGTTCTACTGACTGATTCTAGGCTCTTTCTTTGCCCATGTTTGAACTTCTTTACCTAATCCATAGCCGTCACGTAGGGATATAGTCCGTACTCGTGGATTAGAACTTTATATTGTTATATATTGCGTTTAGTTCTCATGTATATACAAATATAAGCAGAAATATGAGACGACCTCAGCCTCGGAATTATGAGGCTCGGAATAGAGCCGGCTTGGCTTTGTCTTGGCAGGCGGCTGTAGGTGGCGTTCCGCTATATTAATGTTCTTGGCGCAAACTATGGGATGCATGGTGGAAACCAGTGCCATGGAAGCATTTACACATGTGACATACATAGTAAGTATTGCACAGAGGTACCTAAGGTAGTACAATACAATGGGGTTTGAACTTTGAACTACCTACCTACCCCACCACTATCGTTATCACCAATACTACAAGTACCTACCTAAACTATTATTACGCGGCCGGATGACTTAATATTCAACTTTCTTCAATAAACTATCTAGGGAAAGAAAGAAAAAAATAAAAATAAAAATAAAAAATTTACCGCTGCTAAACAATGGATATCGACGACATATTACGAGAAGTCGATCCTACATTCGATTCGATCCCCGAAGACACACGCGACTTACAAGCCTTGACACGCGCCTGGGTCGCAGAAAGGTCCTCACCCGAGCTGCTCGAGTATGCAACGCCGTGGCCGAATCCCTCATGACTCGACGCTGACAGCCCTTTCCGTCTTATAGTTGGCCGATCGACGGATTGTTCGAACGTATAAACGAGCGGATTAAACAGCAGATCGAGAAGATCGAAGAAATGACAGGAGATATGGATCCTAAGACCAATTTCGCCCTGATAGTTATACAAACCGAGCTTGAGAGGTATAAATATTTGGTGCGGAGTTATTTAAGAGCCCGTATAGCTAAGGTGAGTAATACGTATACGTATATCATCAGTTGGTCTTCTATGTTACGTACGGTTAGCCATGCATTGGATTAGTTACCGATGTTAATCATATACGTCCATCTGCCAGATCGACAAGCACACCCTGCACTACCTCTCCAACCCTGTAATTCGGGCTCGTCTCTCACCGCCAGAACTTGCCTACGCAACTCGGCACCAGGCTTTGCTCCATAACCACTACCTCTCCTCATTCTTGTCGTCCTTCCCGGCGCCGTTGCAGAATCTCAACGATACTACTGGGAACATTAGCATGATCGACAGCCCCGACTTGGAAACGGCTGTATTCATTCGCTTATTAGGGGCTACGAGTGTTGAGGGAAGGGGAACCGATGCGGATGGTGAGATAGATGGCAACAACGGCGATATCGTTATTCTACGATGGTCGGACGCGAAGAAATTGGTCGATACGGGGGTAGCTGAGATAGTATGAAACTAGCCTATCTTGCCAAATTTCTCTTCAACAAGAGTCAACTCGCTACTTTGCAAAAGAGTGTTAACCTTAACAAGACGCTGTGGTATTTAGGGGACGTCGCCGCTCCGAAAGAAGATTAGTAGGATATACACAAATCTATCCTCCCCGTATAATGTAGGTAGGTATTACCGACTCTTAGTTATCAGGTTCATAAGTCAAAGCGATAAACAGTTGTGACCTAGTTAGGTACATATCTTAGGTACCTAGGTAGGTACCTAATTACCTAATATAGGTAATAAGGCTTAACCTTAGGCCGGGCTGGATGCTCACGCATGGAAGCTGTGTGATAGGTACTCTAGTGGGGAAAGAGTGATGTCAACATGGTAGTTGGAACCATTGTATTGGCCCTTCTCCCCCCCGCTTCCCCCCACCATCCGCCATGTAACTAGGTAAGAAAGTGAGTGGGATGCTCCCCTTTGATTTCATCAACCACTACGATCTTTACCATGGCCGTCCGTTTCTATCATTACCCATCCCTTCAAGTAGATCCTCCCTATCCTACAACCGCAAGTTAGGTTTACTTGAATTGGTATGGTACTTGGATTCGGACAGAATAATTGCGGCCATTTGAGTTGCCCCGTATTATGACCTGCATCTGCATAGACGCGTATGCTTGATTCGCAGCGTTGTCACGAGCAAATATCCCCTTGATCTTCGTCTTATAATAAGACTTTAATTTATTTTTACATGCCGATTGGGCAGCCAGCTACCCACATAGCTGCACCTATTTTCCATAATGAGCGAGCTTCAGAGGGCCTGGGCTAAGAACCGCCTAGCTGCCTTACCACCTGAGAGCTTTGACGAGCGGGACGAGGATGAGGCTGACCAGGTTCCCGAGCTTCCAGAACATCCCGACGATGATTCGTCCTCGGCTTCTTCAGCTTCTTCCACCGGAACCGTCATCCCTTCTCCAAGTCAGAACTTATTTGCCAGACCTCAGGGGTAGTCCCTCTCAATCCGTATGCGCTCATGGCCACGGCAGCTGATTCTGGTACACAGCGCGCCGAGAGGACGATCTCTCCAGCAGATCCCCTGGACTACTTATTTCCAGCGGGAACTGTTTCTCCACGACCCAACCAGCCCTACAAACCCTACCTTCCATGCTTACCTAACGTCTCCTGTTGGAAAGGGCCCTTTGTTTATCATGCATCATGGTGCTGGTTCCTCAGGCCTTTCTTTCGCTTTAGTCGGAGATGAGATTCGGAAACGCCTTCCGTCTGCGGGTATCCTTTCACTCGATGCGCGTGGTCACGGTTCAACAGCGATCCCTCCGGACAATCGAACAATCGGGCTAAGTCTTGAGGTTCTCACTGCGGACCTCCTCTCAGCCATATTGCTAACTCAGAAGGAAATGAGTTGGCCAGAGTTGCCACCCATTATCTTAGTCGGACACTCATTAGGAGGTGCGGTTGTGACTGAGCTGGCCAACACGGGGAAGCTTGGTAATTCCTTGTTAGGATACGTTGTTCTCGACGTAGTTGAAGGTTCCGCCGTTGATGCTTTGAAGAGCATGAACACTTATCTTTCCACACGACCAACTGGTTTCACCACCTTGGAAGAAGGGATTGATTGGCATCTTAAATCGAGAACAATTCGTAACTCACTCTCCGCCCGTACCAGCGTCCCATCCTTGCTGAAACTCGTCGGATTACCGGGTGATCCGAGACCCTGGAAGTGGAGGACGGATCTCGGAGCGACAGAGCCGTTCTGGGAGAATTGGTTCACAGGGCTAAGCAAGAAGTTCCTGAGCGCGAGGGGTGGGAAGTTATTACTCCTCGCTGGCACGGACAGATTGGACACCGAATTAACAATTGGCCAAATGCAAGGTTCGTGCCTCCCCCCTAGCTTTTCTCGGGTCCAAAGAAGTTGTACAGAACTTACGTGTTTCCTACGGTAGGCAAATACGCCCTGCAGGTATTTCCCGAGGCAGGGCATTTCATACACGAAGATCTACCCGAAAAGATCGCGATATCTCTGGTAGACTTCCACAAGCGTAACGATCGGACCGCCTTAGTGTTACCCCCAAAAGTGTCCGATCTACTTAAGCAAGGTAAGAAGGTCTAACAGGATATTTGTGAGGAGATGAATATAGAGGATTGCAAATGTGAAGCGGCTTGAAAAGTCATATCATCTTGAAGTACTCGTTATCGTGACTCCTGATCTCGCTATCTCGCTATTTGCCCTGATACTCTTAACCACCCTAGGTGTCCCTAAGCCTATCTATAGAGCTCTCTCTATATACCAGGTAACTACCTAACCTAACGTATATATTTTAAAGGCCTAGCCTGAACCGTAGACCTTTAGATGTCTATGCAAAATGCATTCGCTCCTCCACCCCAGTAACAAAATGGGATATATGCTCATTTCAACGCCTTTAAATGCCATTTCCGCCAACTCCTATGATGCTATTTGTAACATACCTTAAACAGGCACTGCTACACTTTCAAACGACTTCGTTTCGGCTGCCTGTATCTCTGTCTGCGCATTCACGCCCCGTTCTGCCAAGCCTTTCTTAGCCTGGGGCTTTGCTCGCGATTCAGCCATGTTACCCCCTGCGGCGAGCGCACTGTCGTTAATCTTCTTATTCTTCTTCCCCGAGCTTTCCGGGTCGATGCCTAGATTCATGTCGACTTCGCGGGCTCGCTCCATCAGGTGTTCGTAGCTGAGCAGCTCGCATATCTTCGTGTAGCTCTTGCAGCTACTGATATTTCGATACGCGGGCTGCTTCCCGGGGATCAGCTGGCAGAGCAGGAATTTGGTATTGCCAAATTTGTTCTCGACCTCGAGTGCGTACCGAATGTACTGCTCCACAACCTCGTCCCATGGCACCATACCACCCTCATCCTTGCTCCGGAAGCAACTTGGGTTCTTTTCTGCTTGCGTTGCTATCATGGCACCGTCAACGCCGTATTCTTGGATTAGCGCGAGGGCTTGGTCTCTGGTCTCCACATCGCCGTTCATCAGACATGCGACGCCGGCTTCGTGGCACACGCCGGCGATCATGCGTAGTTGGCCGCGGATAGCACGCTCCCTGGGCCGCATGGGCGTGGTTCGGCAGTGCACTGTGAGGCCTGTTATCCCCGTCGCGACGAGTCTTCTAACTAGGGCTTCCGTCTCCGCCGCGGTCTCCAAGATTCGGATCTTTACGCTGATCCCGATCCCGAATTCGGGCATAATGTTCTGTACCAGCGCTTCCAAAATGGATACCAGCTTATCTGGAGTTCGGAGTAAGGCTGCACCCATCCCGTCATGGGTGCTGAAGGGCTTTGGGCAGCCAGCGTTTACATCGATGCCGGCGACGTCGGCAGCTACGAGCCGCGCTGCTTGGACTGCCAGGTCGGGATTCGAAGTACCGATTTGGAATATTAATTTCTTCCCTTCCTTTTCCGGGTGTATCCTGTAGATTACGCTGTCTTTTACGTCGGCCGGTGGGGTTTTCCCACCCTGCGACGGTTTCCTTAACCACTCGATTGTTCTGGTGTCAGGGTTGTATCGCCTTGTAGTGCCAATTAGGGACCTATCCACCGTCTCAGGGCCTGCGTAAGTACAAGTCAATAACACATCACATGTAGTTTATAGAGTATAGAAGAAACGCACCCCATACTAAATCAGCTCCGTAGTGAAGGGCTGTGAGTCGCGAAGGTAGCTCTCCGGAACGAACCATCGGCGCAAGAACGATTTTACCCCTGTAGTCAACGCCATTGCGAGGAATGGGAACCTTCTTCATTTCGGACGCCATAACGGTGCAGATTGAGCGCCGAAACCATGACATGTCAAACAAACAAATGAATGGGAAGGAACTGAGTTACCGCAAACGAACGTGGAAAAAAAGGTCAAAATGCTGGAATAAAATGCCAAAGTTTTGGGAACCTATCTAATCTTATCTAATCCAGCATCTAATCGGTACTAATCGATACTAATCAGAGGTACCTACATATATACTATGTACATAAGTACATACCTAGGTACCTTTAAAGTTTAAACTCATTGAGGGTTCAATTCAAGCTTAAAAACGTCGATATCGTATCTTGCTAACAACTCAGCTATTTTCGTTTTCATCCGATTTCTTTTTGCTGTAGTGAGAATTTGACATGCCCATGTAATTTTGGTTTGCGCAAATGAAAAAGCCGCACGCACAGACGTCAGTAAGTCTGAACCATCTTTTTTTTTTTTTTTTTTTCTCCTCTTTCAAACTTGGCGTTCCATTTGTGAGCTGGAATCTCCGTTTTGGACTTTTTCTAGAACCCTTGACTATTTGAAAAGTACCTAGGTATATGAATGTACGCCTATACCTACCATGCTGATACCTATCGGAGAGACCAGTTGTAATACGAACGGGCTAGTTCTGTTGTGCTACCTTCGTAGCTTCCGTATCGCTTACTCCTTTATGACAACATTACGAAATAGTGTAAAGCAGCTATAGGGGATAACTGGCGTTATATCATGGAGTGGTCGGGGTTTGCATAATATAAGTACCTATTATTTACTATGTGGTATAATACATTGGATTATTATCTTATAACACCTTTACCGATGCTATGAATAGACAGATCAAGGTTTATTTTATTTTATTTTCCGCCACGGCCCGGAATCTTGAATCGTTCCTGAACATTTTCAGATCAAATTGTGCCTGAAGTTAAATCTGACATGCAATGCAGCCTTATGCAAAAATGAACTTAATTCTGCAACCCCCTTAAAATGACGGAGAGGTTTATACATAGTATTCTTCATGTTAGGGAAACCTTGTGCCTTTGCTGTCTCTTTTCTCTTCGATGTTATTCACCCACGTAGTACGCATCTCTCCTTAAATTCTCACGTAAGCCTCCGGTGTTAGCAACCCCGTCTCCGCAGGATTTTTTTTCGTAGTCATACGTCATTAAATCAGGAGCTGAGCGCGAGAGGAGTACAAATACTGTTGAACCCTCGTCTGTTGTTCATTAGTAATAGTTAGGATTAACGTGTAGAGGTGGCCCGTATTGTACTCGTATGGAAATCGGGAACGGAACTTAGAGAGGTAGTCCGGTACATAGGGAGATTGGTCTACGGGTGGTACTTAATACCTAACGTGTGACGAATTTATACAGCTAAGCCTCTACATACATGTACCTAAGGTTAGGCGGGAACGTCTTGGGGCCTTGTGATGGCATCAGCTCAAAAAAGCGCATGTGCATGCTACCAATGTAGGTAATGTAGTATACACGCGGTGCGGACATACGCACACGTAAGGCAACAAGTAAAAATTTTTGAAGGACTTATTCAATGTTGCACGTAACATTGGAATATGTATGCGCCTTTAGTTACACTAATAGGGGATAAGTCTGCCCCTTGTTGGCATCGTACACTATACTAAAATTGGTCAACATTGCGCTTGTGTTAGGTAACATTAGGTTATGTACGGAAGATCCGTATAGGTAAGTGAGGTACATATATGTACGTGTTACAATACCTCGTACTCGTTGCAGTAGGTAATTACCTCTAGTGTACCTAGCGTATCTACTATGTAGGAGACCGGGTTCCACTGCTTTAGGTACATGTAGGTACACAGATACAACACAATACTAGAATACATATAGGTACCCACAGAAGCGGCCGACGTCACCCCTCTTGCCAAACATGTGTAGTAGGTAGTACCGTGGTCTGCGACTGCGACTTTGCGTATATTTCAACCTTCCTCCAAAGCACCTGCTAGAATTAAACTAAAGATACCTATACAATGGTATAAAATCCTACGTATCAAGATTGTATGTGTATGCTACTACATCACTTTTAGCCAGACCCTTACTCTTTTCGCTTTGTCTTGGATGAGAAATATTGCCATTTTTTATTATTTTTATTTTGGATCTATTCTAAAAAATCTAAAACAATCCAGGGAATCCCTCCCCTCAAAACCCTCAAAACCCTCACAAATCAACCTACCAAGATACCCACCGAGGGTGAGGCGTTCCGCACTATCGAGTTCACGCATCCGGGACTCGTCACTTGGACTAGAGCCCGTCGCTCGCGCCCATGCGCCCTACTTCTCCGAAGCAACGAGCACTGAACCATTGCTGAACGGACGTTCTTATTAATCTTAGCTGGTGGACCCATCTACCTGTTGTACCATTTGCGCTTAGGTTGAAACCTAAGACACCTAGGTACTCCGTTTCCATCCCGTCCACGGATATTTGGGATACCTGGGTACCTTAGCTTGCACCCTGCTCCTAAGAAAAAGGGCTGTGCTTCGCATGTTCATTCACGGACCAAACAATGGCTTCTACAAGTGAGTGGACAAAAGCATCCATTTATACTTTCTCTCCCCTTCTTTTGAGCCACCAAGTCCTCCGAATATATCGATAAAAGGTCCAAACCCTAACAAAACGACAACCAACCTTGAAATCCATGACCTCGTGGCGAACACTAATTCATTGCACCTACCTGCGAGCACTAAAGGCTTAGCCTCAATGTTCTCTGCAAGGTCGCGGCTCGACCGCCTGTCATCGTTTTTTCCGTCACTAATCAGTCCGCAATCTCCAGACTCTCCTACGGGAGCCTTTCACCGTAAACCGCTACCTGAACAGTCCCCAGTCGGGGACAGGCCGCCAAGTCTACCAAGCCTCCCGCTGAGTTCAGCGTCACCTGAGCAGGCAGTAGACGGATCTCCAAAATCAAATTCAAACGACCCCTCTGAAAATACCGCTTACCTACCGTCCGTTCCGACTGAAAGTAGAGACTCCTCCGAAAATGATGCGACAAGCTCTACAGCGAACAAGCTACGCAAACCCGCACCGGTGACGGACAAGGCACCGTTATCTGACGCCGATGACACAATCACCGCTCCGCAGCGAGGATCGACTTTTCATTTCTTGGAGACCAAGTCATCTCCCCGTCTTAAAAAAGACCCGAGACGGCGGAGTAGCTCTGTTGCAAGTAGTGCCCATAAAGCATCAAGTTCTCAGGTCAACCTCGGCGTACCTCAACCTAGTTCGCCGACTCCCGAATCCAGGACTCGAAGCGTGTCCGCACAGCCGCCCGTTACGAGACCGGCTACAGGCTCGGGGAGCCTGACTGTCTCTGCAGTCGCAACCGGTGCGTCCCGCCCAGGGTCGAGCGGTGGAAATGAAAGTCCCACGCGGGAGGCGGAACGACGAGGACGCTTAAGAAGAAGTTGGCTGCCGGGAGCAGGAGCAAGGTCAAGGTCACATTCGCGGAGCCAAACTAAGACGGTTCATACTTCGGCAGCATGGATACTAGGGCAGAATTCGGATTACAACACATCCTTTCTCTCAGACGGAGAAAAGGTCCCAGAACTATGGAATGAGAATGGAAATGTGCTGGTCTATCTGGATGCCAAGGGAAGTGGCGGCAATCCCTCTTTCAAAGTCCCTTCCTTCGTCGTGGACTATTCATTAGTCTTCAATGAGCTGATGGAAGCTGAGATAACATCGCCTACAAGCTCAGGGAGGAGTCGTGCCCGCAGTTTTACTGGTCGAGATAGCTTGTCTGTGGAAGATGCAACGCGACGAGTCCAGTCGCCCCCTCTATCCGAACCAGATGTGTATGGGGAGTCACGTCTCTATCTTCCTGTTTCCATGTCCGACCCAGGTCACAGGTCGCACGCAGACATGGAGCGGTTGATATCGATCCGCAATATGTTCGCGTTTTTGACGGGCCAACCGTTGGTGTGTACTAATGAACAGCCTACGCTCTTCAGTGTCTTTATCAACATATCCAGTCTACTGAAGGAATTCGGGTTCACAAATGTTGATGGATCGACATTTGGAGATGCTGTGGAGATGAGTTTCGGCTTCTTCATGGACCAGATGGGCCTTGCGGATGTAAGACATAGCAGAGAGAAGACTCTAGAATCACTCATTCTGGGCGAGCGAATGCGCTCGATGCCTCTATATAATGAGGCATTTACTCACGCCGTGGGCAAATACTCCGCAATCAGGGACCTGAATTCTCCCCTATGGGAGCAAGTTTCCCTCACTACTCGCGAACGACTAGAACGCGCATATTTCGAGCTGGTAAACCGCCAGAACAGTGTTAATAATAGACTAGAGACGTTTGATTTCCCAGCCTTATTTTCTGGTGTCGCGAATTCGACGTCCCGTTCGGAGTACAAGGATGTCAAATACCATACCTGGAGAAGATCGTTCGGTCGCATGAGACAATTTGTTCTCAACTACTATAAATCTACTTTCGGGAGTTGGCCACCGAAGGCCCGCAGCAAGAAAAACCCATTCACCGAGAGTGGATTGAATAGGCAGGTCTTGAAGATAATGTACTCGGATTTCTGTATGCTATACGACCTACTCGTGGATCGTGAATCGTTGACGACACGAGTGATCGACCAAAATGCAGAAGAGACGACTAGCCACAAGAATCCCCATCTGTCGGCCATGCGCAGGGTTCTCACCGAGTTTGACCAATCCTCGCCTCCTGTGCTTCCCCCCATTCCGTTCGATCTTCCTAAATTACCCGACATGACGAGTGTCCAGGAGAACTTCTATGAGCTTTCTGCTAAGGAACAATCGCGATTGGGCAATAACTTGCAGGAATATCAAACTCTCTTGATTTTGAACAAAGCCTACGACTTTGAAACGTTCAAGTTGGACTATCCGTTCCTCAAGGAGTTCATAGATTTTGAATACAAAGAAGCCAAAGGCAAAACGGCTGCGGAAATGGCAGACCAACGTCTTGGTTACTGGTTATTCCTTTACGTTGTAATCCAATCCCTCCCAATGCTGGTAGTGGATGCTCCAGGCCTGCAGTTTACTGAAGGCGTCGAATATTTCCTCTGTCAGCCACCAAAGGGTCAGCCACCATGGATAGAAGATGCCCCCGCGGTGCGCAAGAGATGGTACGAAGTAGCTGGCGGAGGTGTGGTTGAGCTTTCGGCCGATGCCGTAGAGTTCAGTATCGAGGGTATCTACCATCGCAGCCACTGCTGGCTAGTAGCTAAGCGCTGGGAGCTTGGAGAAGACATCGGTCCTGTGGCTCCGGAAGGCCTCTCGCCTCTGCCACCGCCACAATCCGTTTTTGCCGATAATGACCCGGGCGTTTCGGCGAGTCCGCCTTTAGCCAACCGGAGCGATTCTCCCCAGAGCGGCCCTCCTGGTTTGGCACTTAGACAGAGAACTGGCTCGCCTGGCGGCAGGAATCCGAACTACCGAAGCAGTGTAGCTTTCGGCCTAGAGCCTATAGCGATGCCTGACGAAGACTTTTCAATGCTGGGAGCACGAATCTCTAGTGCCAGGGGTCCATCTCCAGTTCAACGGCCAATCAGTACTGTGATGGCTCGTAGCAGATCCTCGGGCAATCTACATGGTCTACCGGGTTCTCCTATCCAACTGCCTCAAGACTCGCGGAATAGTTCGAGGCAAGGTTCTGTAGGAGGAAGCACTTTTGATGACATCCTAAAAGATATGGAGAAAAAGCCGAAGAAAAAGAAGGGTTTCTTTTAATTTGGGGAGGGGATCACGATTTATGATTTTCTACTTCTTTCCTAGGGAAATAAGGATTTATCTTTTTTTCTCTCAAGGCAGAAGCATGCATGGTTTGAATATATCAACCTATAATGGGCATATACAGGAGATCGGGGGGAAATCATATATATATGTATCTATATACACATACATAGTAATACTTGCATAAAACGGACTTCGATGCCATGATCGTCGGCCTCGAGGACGTTTGCTGATTTGACTAATAAGTATATCATTATTTACCTGTTATGTTTTGCCTCGTGCACTAGGTAGCGTCAGCTGGATCGATGTTATCAGGTGACTCATGATGGGGACCTTGATGGTCTGTCCTAAATTCTGATTTAGGTTTGTTTGCTTCATTAGATAAAGTCCCTACTAACTTACACCTACATAGTGCAGATAAGTAAGGTGAACATAACAGTAACAGACCTTAGGTAGGTAGTCATCAACTTTTTTTAATGTATACTTTTATAATAAAGAAAAAAAAAGGTTGGCTGCATGTAGGTAATGTACATAGTAAGTGAGATATGCTGTTGGTGGGCACAGACCTATTCTAGAAAGGGCATAGTTCATAATCCCTTGTGGGGTAAATCCCTTAAGGTAAGTTGTGTGACAGGTAGGTTGCCTTCTGCTTCTTTTAGTTGTGTAGGTAGCCGCACTGGTTGCTACCTGCTGCTACCTGCCGCGTGCGTCCGTCTGAAGCTGTCGTGCACTTTTGACCTTTATCTTAAAACTTTCTACTGAGTCCCTGTGATACCAGTAACGTCAAGCAGATTCTCGAGGTTCTGATTTACATCTCATCTAATTAGCGCGAACGTTGCCATTACAACCAATTTGTCATACTCGTACAATCTGCACTGTACATATTAGAGCAAGTCAGACTTGTTCATAAACTGTTTACGAGTTCGAATGTTTTGATTCACACCGTAGCTCGCAATATATATCTAGGTATCCGACGTCGCAACTATAAAAGTACCTATTTATTTAATCTTCTCACTTAAAGATGCGATCCAACATCCTTTAAATGGTTACAACATACTACATACAATACATTATACAACAACTTTTAAGTGAGTTGATTGGGGGCTAGGAGTCTCGACGTAATAATCTCGAACCAGCTGCCTGAACTTATGTTTCGTTTCGAGCAGTCGCTGTGAACGAGCTCTTCTCAACGCCTGCGCCTGCGCATGCGGATGCGGATACGGATACCCATACCCAGTAATTCCAATGGATCCAAACGACGATTCGCAAGCTACCCAACCAGGTCAGTTTCTGCAATACGATATGGTCCTTATCGCCAGCAATGGTGTCTAACTTCTTTTACTTGTAGCTACTCAAAACGCCCTAGATCCTAGAAGGGTTGGGAAACAGAATTCAGGCTTCTCAGATGAAGATATATCCGATATAATATGCCTACTCTATCCTAATTCCGACAGTGCCAGTCGCGAGGTCCAGCGGATTGCATCCTCATCCGAACACGCGCATCACACTGCCGGCAGGTACACGGCCGATGCTATCGACTCGGATCTATACCTAGAAGACGACGCTCGCGAATTTGGCCGAACCCGAGGGATTGGTGACCATGCCCTCGTAATCAAATTATCATCTGCCCTCAAGAACCCACGACTAGGTTTTACCTTTGGTCGCAATCGGGCGCGATGCGATCTTTGCTTCGAAGATGACCCGAGCAGGAGACTTAGCAATATCCACTTCCGCATATTCGCCAATAAGTACGGCACTGTGATGTTGGAGGACCAATCGACGAATGGGACCATCGTGGACGGCAAATTGCTCCGCAAGCGGATTGATTCACAAAGGCCAAGTCAGAATCCCCCGATCAAGAGGACTCTAGAGAGTGGTTCTACCATTAAGATCGTTATGCATGAGACAGCGAAAGATCTTGTCTTCCTCGTCCGCATTCCCCGCCGCGATGGTGATCACGATGTGGCATACCGAAGAAAACTTGGTGCCTATCTACTGCGAGCTCAGGGGCTAGATGACCCCAACAGGACGATCGTCCCCGGACCAGGTGGCCATGTAAGATAGCAAACACCCTCGAATGCTAAATGGTATTACATATACTGATTTTGAATTTGAATAGGTCAACCTTTTTCCAGCCCCGCAGAATATGAATGGCGCTAAAGAGGATGATTTCTGGGAGACTACGCAAACCCATCTCCGCATGCCCCGTGAGTGGCGCGGGGGTGAGAAGTATGCTCGCGTTGGCATTATTGGCAAGGGCGCTTTTGCTACAGTCCATAAGGTTACTTCAAAATATGACGGTTCGCCATACGCCGCAAAAGAGCTAGACAAGCGCAAATTTATGAAGAATGGTGTGCTGGATCAGAAAGTCGAGAATGAGATGAAGATTATGCAAAAGGTCCACCACGTAAGTCACCCCCCTTTTCATCCTAACCGAGTTTCACCAGCCTCTCTGACCCTGGACTAGAAAAATATTGTTCAATATATCGAACATTTCGATTGGGATGTACACCAGTTCTTCATTATCATGGAATTTGTTCCAGGTGGTGATATTGGCAAGTATGTCTTAGACCATGGTCCCATAGCCGAGCCCTACGTTCAAATCATGGCCGAGCAGCTGCTTGATGCCCTAGGGTACCTCCACGAAAATAAGATCACCCACCGCGACGTGAAACCCGACAATATTTTAATACACTCGACGAATCCCCTCGTGGTCAAGTTAACAGATTTTGGTTTATCCAAAATGATCGATACAGAACAGACTTTTCTCAAGACCTTCTGTGGAACATTGCTGTATTGCGCTCCTGAAGTTTATAGCGGGTATTCGTCGTATGACGAAAATGGCAGGCGAACGCAGAGAAACAATCACAGACAAGTTGATAGGGAGAGATACGATCATGCGGTAGACATATGGTCTCTCGGCGGTGTTTTGTTCTATGCTCTCACCGGTAGTCCGCCATTCCCCGTCAAGAGTGGAGTTACGTACAATGAGTTACTCGACCATATTATCAAGGTGCCGCTCAACATCGCCCCATTGTCACGGGCCGGTATATCTAGCATTGGCATTCACTTTCTAGTAAGGATGATACATGTCAGGCCAGAAACTAGGGCGACTATCCCGGAATTACAGAATCACCAATGGATTAAACGGGAGACAAGTTCTGCCAGCATAGTTTCCGACGACAAAGACTTGGGACACGCAGCTTCTCAACTGAGCCTAGACGATCGGCAATCGGCCCAGTCCACGGACGATGCTTTCGAGGAACCGGAGTCCGAGCCTTCCCCTGAATTCGAATCCGAAAAAGAAAATTACACATTTGGTCAACAGCGCCCGGATAAGTTGTTTGGAGAGGTCAATAATTTGGATTTCGGTAGTTCTGGGGCCATTGGAGAAGACCACCTAAACCTCCCGGTTCCAGACACCAATTTTAGAGAGACTGGTGCACTAGAGGCTGAGGTTCTTGACAGCTTCGAAGAATCAGAGAATCTATCTACTCCAAGACAGAAGGGTGGCATAAGCAACGGAATTGTGTCACCTGTCAGGGATTCATTGCGGAGCAACTCGGAAAGCATTATACCAGAGACAGATTCTCAGAGCCTTGGTGGAGCTTCTTCAATCCTAGGGAACTTGAATGTCAAGTCGCTGGCCAACGGTGATCTAAACCTACGATCTAGGACCGCAGACTTGAATACAAGTAAGAGGAAGCCTAGTCACAATACTAGTGATGATTACGAGGCTGGTGAGACTTGGATTAAGCCATCATTCAAGAGACTCAAATCCCAGTGTGACGCCGATGTTTCCGAGACAGAAGAGGACGAGCTTCGCTTGCTTGCTAGCGTTCCTCAAATTGTAAAGAACGAGTCAGGTCGTCAAATCGACTACCCACTTCCCAAGACAACATTTTGGGATAGTTCCGACAAAAGCACGTGGCACTTGGACTACCCCGAGATGACTCATCTCCAGTTCAACGCATTTGAGCTCGCTGCTGGAAGAAAAAATGAAGGATTTGGTCCAAAGAACTCACGCCTTTGGGACCTTGCGATGAAACACTTTCCGCCTACGCGCAAGCGGCAATCTAAGGATACAGGCAAGGTTCTCGTACTTCGACCGGCTTTACTTGAGCGGGATAATCGGTCTGCTCATGAGATACGTGGCTCATCCATACCCCAAGGGTGTTTGGCTCCCATCGATGATGAAATCGAGTCAATTCCAGATACGCTACCGCCAGAAAACCCACCCCTGGGGCCCACGAAACTCCCCGAGCTACCGCAAGCGGTCGCGGCTCTTTACTCGACTAAAGGATCATTGGTGACGGGAATATCAATCCGTTTGAATGATCCTGTAATGTCGTGGGGGCGAGATCCGAATAACACGGTTGTTTACGAGCCAGTTGTTGAGTCCAAAGTTCCTAAGAACGCATTCAGAATCATGTTGTGGAGAGAGGGTTATACTGCTCCCTTGAGCGACTTCCGCCCATGGGATCCCTCTCGGCCAGCGAACAGTCGCACGATGCGAGCCTCGCCTGAGCCAGATTCGTACGCGTTCTATATATCAACCAAGGCAACTAACGGGATCCGAATCAACAACAGTCCCCTGCAGGCCAATGAGCCAAAGGATAGCACGGCCCCTTGCAAACACTGGGTAAAGCTATACCACGGAGACACCATAGTGTTCTGGGGGAGCGATAACGTTTACAGCCAGGCCAAAGTTACTTTCGAATGTTTCTGGGGAGGCTCGTCGGTTCCCAGACCGGCGGACGAGGCGCCTATTTGCATACCGGATTCTCAGGCTCGTAAACTTGACCGTCTCTGGCCTAAAGCCGTAACCACTCTTCGTTACGACAGGATCAAAGCCGACGCGCAGCGCGACCAGGAATTGAGAATGCAAAACATGAAGGAGGAGATAGAGCGCAGTCGGATTTTCGAGGAGAAACGCGCCGAGGCGGTCAGAATACTTGCTTTGCGTACTTCCCGCATGGCTTCGCCAGCTATCTCAACGCCCTCCACAGTCAGGTTGATTTCTCATGTTGGGCATACAATACCATCGTCGTATTTACAGACCAGTGGATATAATTAATATATATGCTTGCCTTGGCGTTCTCGGCATTCTGGTTTCCGTCTCCGTCTCCCTAACTGGCAGTCTCCAAAGGGAATGTTTGGTCTCGACATTGCTGAATATGTCAGAGAACAAGGGGGGTATCTATATTTTTACCATCCGCATAGCTTTTGATCCATATAGATACGTGGTGGCACAAAAGGACATAGAGGAACAGGCATAATATATATGGGGGATTGGGGGGGGGGGGGGGCTTCTGGAAGGATGTGGTTACGGTATGGAGCTAGGTACTATATCTACATGGTTCAAGTCCCTCAATATGAGGAGTTGCTGCTAAAAGCATATGTAAATTAATAATTACTTTTTTAGGAGAGTTCTTAACGCGCTATAAGTGCTATGTGCAGCTAGGCCAGGTGATGGTCGACCTTATATGTGTCTTGATTTTATGTGGTATATATATATACCTTAGGTACCTTAGGTTAGGTAGGTATGTACATAATGTAAGTGGCTTATCTTTTTATATATTATTTTATCTTAAGCTACCTACCTTACCTAAGGTATCTAACCTCTCAAAGGACATCAGTAAGGAAATGGCGAAGAAGAAATAGTGAGGGAGGTACCTAAGTACAGGTCTCTTAAATGTAGTTGCCTTAAAGTACCTAGCGATCGATAATAAAGTAAAAAGTTTACGGGTGTTAATTCTGTCTTAGGTACTCGACATTAAAACATGCACTTGCTCTTTCTCCTCGCAGAAACTAGCGAAACATCGTTTTTCATCTCCAACCTTGCTGCCTGCTACTAGGGCAACTGTCAGGGCAACCACCAGGGCAACCCTCTTCCATATTCCTACCCTTCTGCACGACGGCCACCACTTTTTTTTTTTTTTTTTTTTTAATCCAGTAACTTGTATTTAGTCGCGCAGTTTTTTGCAACACCTTTTTTTTGGTCGGCTTTATCTACTTGGATGAGGTTGTACTGACGATACACCTGTTGTGCTTCAATGCTGCCTGCTCCTTATGGCCTCGTTCAAGATATTTTCATCGGGAGGTCGACGCCATTCTAAGTAAGTATATTATATCTCATGACTTGTAAACTCTCTTTCGCTTCTTCATCCCACCGCTAACACAGCACTAGGGGCAGCAACTCCCGGTCAGAGCGGTTGGAGCCTCCAAAGGGATGCAATAATGTTGATGATGACATCTACCTGCCTGGTTCCAACAGCGTCTATATTACCAAGACCAAGAGTGGCAAACCCGCGCTCGCTCGTAAGAGACATGATAGATTACTAGACGACTTTGAACCCGGCCCTTTTGATCAGAGTATTGATACACCATCCCGCGCAGATGTAGAGAAAAGAGCACGCCGCTATAGGAGTTTCTATTCTCAAAACCAAGGCCTCGCTTCTCCTCTAACTCCGCGTCGGTCCACCACACCACAAGTTACATTCGACAACCACGGCAAATATCGCGGATACGGAACCTCTCCTACCGTGATGGCTGGTAACGGTATCCTTCGATCTGCTTCAATCTCTCCTCCCGAGCGTATCTACCGCGTCAACGAAAGCCCCGGCACTATTGATATGTTCCAGGACAAAGCGTTTGGAGCAAAAGGCGCCAGCCAGGTATCCGCGAATGCTAGTCTACCAACACAACCAATCCCGATGGCGCCACCTTTGCATAGCTCTATCTCTCCATCACAACCCAGATCAACCTGGAACTTGAGGGGTGACGCCAACGGCATACTAACAATGGACCCTATCCGAGGTCCTCCAGTTGTTCTACCTACTTACCCTGGAGGATATACTACTACTCAGCTCCCGGATTACGGAGGCCTTCGAAGTCTGGGGCAGAGAAAGTCCCCTGGAGTGGCAACAGCCCCCCAGTATGTACTAAATCCCATACACATGGCCCCTTGGCCTAATTCGACACCTTCATGCATTCAGCCTCGCCAATATACCTCGTTGTTTCCGGTATCTCAGTCGCCTGCTTTTACTCTCTTCGGATCTACACAGGCCCCCCTTCCTGCTTACCCTCTCACGCCAGTGACGCCTATGACGCCAACAACGCCTTCATCTAGCTTACCACATGGAGGGAGTAGCAAAGCAGCATCAAGCAGCACTGTAAAATTCAGTCCCAGAGAAGCAGAGAAGTTCGAGGAGCATTATACCAGCACCGTAAATCCTTCAGCACAGGAGACGAACACCATAAAAGCCAAGGGGAACAAGGGCGCAACGGCAATGGAGGACATTGGTAAATATATACAGCACGTCCATATTTGTGCAGCTTGCGGGAAGAAGCGGTCTAGGGGATATCAACGAGAACATCCTCTAAAAAGAGGCCAAATTCCAGATCGAGACTATTGCCATAAGTGCCTACGACGTGCTACTCTCAATCACTGCGACACTGCAGATACTACTCCTGCAAAATATGTAAGTCGCGAGGGCATAATGCGCCGCACTGGCTACGAGACAGCCGACAGTATCTCGGACGACAAACCAATGGATGCAAAGACTTGGCGTAGCCGCAAGCTGAAGAGAAGGGCGGCACGCACTAACCTAGCATCAAAGATATCGTCCCAACAAGCCACTCGAGGGGACGATGCGGGCCTTCCTTTGTTAGTATCATCTGGTGAAGAGTCAGATTTCAGCGTCTCGGCGCCTATTCCTATCCTAAATCCTCGAAAATATCGCAGTCGAAATAGGCGAGCGGCATCCAAGAAAGAACCTCTGAACAAGGACGACACCGATCCATTTGTTTCAGAGCTTGAAGTATCTCGTGCTCATCGAAAGAGACCCTTAAAAGAGAATAATAACTCTACATCGATGAGTGCTGTTCGTACCAATGATCCTAGAGAAACGGGTGATCTCGAGTCGAAGAAATTGGCAGAGCCATTTTCCGAATTTAGTCAGCACGACAGTTCAGGCAACGCATCCGCTAATAGCATTGAGATTCCATCTCAGGTTACCACCAGAGGGAGACGTGTCAGAGTTCCACGACCAAATGCTCCCAAGGTAGTCTCTGAAACTGTCCCCGAGGTTCGCACAAGAGGCGTTCCTACGTTATCCGAAGCTGGCTCTCTAAAGAGCGACACTCAAGACAATATGTATAAGAAGATGGATGAAGATTTTGAGCGTCTCAGTTTTCATGATGGGGTCAAGGAGTTCAAGAAGAGATACTCGAACCTTAACCTCAACAATTCCTTCATCGAGCAACCGGTCGAGAAGACACATGATTTGGCCGAGAAATACAAGACTACTCGCGAGAGAAAGCCCGAGATGCACCGGCAAACCGGAGAGCAATATTATTCAGGTGCCATACAAGAATCTCATGGATCTACAAGCCACACAGCGGAAGCCGAGCCAGAAACACCGCATACCCCTATGTGGCCGTCCACGCCGAATTCGACTGAAATGCCATACGCTGGTGCGGCTTCTATCCCGATCTTCACGGATGATTACTGGGGGGTGGGCGAAGAAGATGACAATCGGGATGAAAACAACGCACGAGAGTTAGCAGAGGAGGAACTGGCATCTGCTGGTAAGCTCTTCGACGACTATGCGAGCGCTCACTGGGGTAGCTCTCGTACTGCTTCTGTGTTTGCACCTCCTGCCTTTGTGACTCGCACTGAGATCTCCGTAGAGTCGCTTCGTTCTGGTGAAGGGCAGAACCGCGCTACTGCTGATACTTCTACCGTTACTTACCGACTCGCTGATACTTCGGATACGGGCGAGGATGTTGACTGGAGGCGACCTACCGGGACAACTGGTAAGTTCATAGCAGAATCATGTTAATTTCCAGCAAGCTGGTATGAATAACTGACTTCCCAACTAGGAACCTCCCGTAAAAACAACAGAGATCGTGCCCGCAAATGGATGCCGCCCACATATTACGATACCTGGCAACGACCTGACCAATCCATTGGGCAGAACGCTTCAAAAAAGCAACCGAATAATAATATATACCATTTTGACGAGAGAGAATCTAGCAGCTCTCTCGATCCGCTACCTCCGGACCCTGTGTCTTCTGTAGTCGGTCATACAGGACATTCGACAGAGGATATGCCGCCTAGCATGTTTGACTACGACCAGCCTACTACCGGTGGAGGATGGCGTAGCCGCTTCCTGTCGCGACACTGAAAGAAACATTGGGCTTTATAGCCACTGTTACGAAACCACTGACCAAGTCACTGCTGCCCCGTTGGCACTTGCACATACATACATCGATGATATGATGGCCACAAGACCCGTTCGGATTTCTGCCCATACTGGGAAAAAAGACGAATATTTGATTGAGATATTATCACTCACCCACTCACTAACCTACCTGTGAACTCCTGCGGTCTCATGAATTTAGAGCGAAGGAATTGGACAGAATAAAATGTAGGAAATTGTACTTATATCCCATCCCATGGGACTTGTACGAAGTACGGAAATTCAGTTTAGTTCACCGCTGAGCAGATGTGAATTTTTTTTTGGACCGAATTGTATGTTAGTGAGTTACTGTTATTCCTGTTGAACCCGCAGACCCAGTGCGCTTTTTGATAGGCGAGACGAATAATTCAATTTCCGTTAATAGATATATCTCGTAACGAAAAGTGTCTGTTTGTTTATACATACCTAATGCTATAACTGCAACTACATACAAAAAAAAAAGGCATAGGAAGTCAAAATTAGAATCGAAACAAAAAAAAAGAGCTTATTAACGCGAAATTGATAAAAATATCAAAAATAAATGCCCACTACTGGAGTCGAACCAGTCATCTCCTCATAGCTTCCTTAGTAGTACTTTGAAAAGTACTAGTGAGGCGCATTACCGCTGTGCCAAGCGGGCGATGCAAAGTAGCCTGCCGTGTAGCTCTATAACCATAACAAACCCAAGATAAAATTGTCTCTGAGATTCAGCCCACTCCATTTTCACCGCAGGTAGGTAGGTAGGTAGATCGGTAGGTAACCAACCCATCGTGTCGTGTTTGTACGGCGCAAACTTCTATGTTTCGTATCATTTGCTTTAATTTAATCATTTCCATACCCAAATCTATATCTACTATGATCGGCCCATACTTCCATATGGGTGTATGACATTTCGTATCTTTTAGAGCCCTGAGGGAGCAATAATTTATTCTTCTTCATCGAGGCAATATACTCACAGGTGCCACTCCTACAGAGCTACATGGGCAGGCCTATTTGTCAAACTATCGTTCCATTTACTTCATGTTCAGCTTAGAACTTTATGAGAAACATAGCGTAGTTGTCAGGTTACTGGGAAATATTCTTTTTATTTTTTTCCTGCCTCATGCTAAATACCTATAGAGGCGGCCAAGCCTTTCATAGCTGCGTTCCCGGCAAAGCGTATGACCCATGACCCAGGGCAGGCTAACCTTCCTATCACTTTATCTTTTCTTCTCTCCCGTGTAATTCCTCGTATCCTTACTTCATAATTCCATTTCATTAATCAACTCTTAAAACTCTAGGTCCACGCTTCTTGGTTGCCTTCTTCTTGTGTCCCCTCTCAAAGGAAGCAGCGGCAGCATGATCTCGGCCTACATTGTCGAGGTCCTTTACCTTATAAATCCTGATGATCCAGTTTTCGCTAGTGTAGGCTTCTTCTAGCGTGTTGAGAACTGGGCCTTTGTCAGGAAGTCGGGCACCTCGGACACGGTCTTGGGCTTGTCCGGGTGGGAAGAGAGAGCCGTAGTTGTAGTACGACATCTTGTACCTAGATTTTAGAAAGCGTGCATTAGCAACAGCCATCATTCAACTCAAACGTAACAGGGGAAGAAAGACTTACATTAAGCTGTTCTTCATGGTCTCCGAAGCCTGATCATCGACTCTATACTCGCCGCGCGCTGTGAAGAAGTCGCGCTCCTTGACCTCGTCGGGCCAGATACCTTCAGCAATCCTCACCATCCAGAGGAACTTGTTGATATCGTCACCAGAATAGCCAAGAAGACCGCCGAAGACGACAAGGACGTAATCAACTTCATGCTGGCGCATGATCGGGTAGCTAACTTCCTCCCGCGAGCTCATAGCTTTACCAACAGTGGCGATGTGGGTATTGTTCCACGTATTGTTGTCGACCAAAGTAGGCCGGTCAGCCATGCCACCAATTTGATAACCATAGTCCCACCAAGACATAATCTTGGCGTCTTCTTTAGTATTTTGCCGCAACCACTGGTAGGCTTCACGGTAGTCATCGATGATATGCTGGCTGCCATCCGGCATTCTGCTTGCTAGAACGACGGAAGGTGACGAATAAGCGTTCGAAGTTACCCAGGTACAATGCTGCACGAAGAGGAGCAGATACAGCGTCATGCATCCTGCTACAAATGCCTTCGATAAGAAGCTGTAGATTCCTACTACGGGCTGCGATGCGGACCGAAGTGCCCCGTGCTTTGAGGCTTTCTTCGCATCGGCGCTCTCGTCATCCTTGTTATCTGCAGGTTCTGGTGATCTGGCGACCAAGTAGGTGTCAAGAACTTGGGAAACCGCAATAGCAGCGGCTACACATACAACCGGAGTAAGCGTAAGCATGAGCCGCACCATAACACCAGCGAAATAGCTTCCGAATAAGGCATATACAATGATAAAGACATGCTCATCCTCGAGCCTCTGGAAGCACAGGTAGACACCGGCTGGGAAAAGCCAAATCAAGAAGTTCAGATCGAAGAAAAAGGCAGGCCAGGCGGTAGGTTGATGCTCAGATACGGATGCGATAATTGGAATGTGTATTTTGGCGTATCCGGTATCCCATAGAGAGTAGAATCGACCGGACCAGGGCGCAATGTATCCAAGGGTGGTAAGACCAACTAGGGCGAGGACTGAAATGCCAAAGACACCACTCAAACCGACATAGAGGAACGTCTGGAATTGGCGACTTGGGACGGCCGATCGGACATACTCGAGGAACGCGACGAGCTGGAGAAACCCGAAGATACCTAGAGCCGGCATGTGTTCGCTAGTACGGACAGGTAGGAAACCCACGAATGGAATCTGCATACTGGCTAGAGTGCCAAGAGCATACCATGTGGTGTACGAGACGTAGAGGCGCATGCTAAACCTGCCCATGCATATAAGTACGAAAGCGTGCAGAGGCACCAAGCATGTGATGAAAGCGTATCCACCCCACGAAGCTACCATGTACCCGTAAAAGAGGGCGCAGAGGGCACCCCATAGTACGGAGCCCTGTTTCAGAGCCTTGATCCAGAGGTAAAAGGTGAAAACAAGGAGGAAGATGGCAATGGCCTCGTTATCGTAGGAACCAGCTACAGATCTCGAGATGTAACCCGGAGCAATGCCCATAAAAGCTGCAGCGAGAAGACCGGCAGATGGGGATGTGGTCATCTCATTGGTAAGGAGATAGGAGGCGAAAGCAGTCAGGCCGGAGAAGGCTGGCGCAAGGAGCACACAGATATTTCTGATGTCCACGGGAACAGCTAAAGCTCGGAGAAGGTGGTAGATAACACCACTTGTGACCATCAATCCGGGATAGAGGGTACCTCCGGTAACTCGCCCTAGAGGATGCCATGTTCGGTCGTCGAACCAATCCCAGAAGTCGTAGAATCCATGGGCAACCAGGTATTTTGTTGCTCGAAAGTTGAACCACGGGTCGACTGTATTAAGCATCAGCAGGTTAGAGACAGCACCACATGTGACATAATGACATAGCAGTATACTGTGGGCGTATGGAGGGGAGGTTGAACTAACACTCATGGATAATACTCTCGAAGCCTGCGGAGATTGAGGTTAGCAGGTAAGCTAGATATATCGGAAAGGTTAGGAAGAAAGATTAGGAAGAAGCGTACGGATGACGGAGAATAGCCGACTTGCAATTGCGGCGCCGGCAATGAAGCAGAGAATAATTACCCTTAACAGGGTTTTTGTGCTCTGGTTCTTGCCCACGCTGACGAGTAAATCGACAGGCGTAGAGCTGGTGCCGGTTGTGACAGCCATTGTGGGGGAGTGCTGCCTCGAGACAATGCAACTAGGTGGTAAATAGTGTCAACATTTGAGAAGGATGTTGGTATGTGAAAGGCGGGTGGGGGGAGAGTTGAATTGGAAAGTGAAATTCGTTTGCTTTCACTCGGTCTCCATGGATAAACGGCGGAAGTGGTGAGAGGACAGCTGGAGCTTTCACAAATTCCATCCGCGCGTTCGCAGTTGCAGAAAGAGCTCCACGTCCTGCAGGGATTATGTATTGTGTGTACGAAGTAGTACCTGTATGTACCTACCTAGCAGCCAGGTAGGTACCTAAGGTAAGCTACCTGTACTATGTAGGTTAAGAGGTACCTGGTAGCATCGCTAGGTAGCCAATCAATGAAGGCAAACATAAGGGTACCTAGGTACATAAAGGTAAGTATACCTATACCTATTACTTACCTAAGTATATAAGTAGATCTTGGCCTCTCTGCTTTTTGTATCTTGGATCAATAGGTATTGCACTCTAGATTAGAGGCACCTAATCGAGAGCACCCGATTATTAGAGTTTAGGTTAGGTAATATCCTATCCGCCCACCCGTTATTGCCTCAGTATTTACTCTCAAATCAATATAATGTTGGCAGGCCTCTTTTCGCGCAGTCACTCCGCCAGACGTAGTAGACACTATATTTGAGATTGGGGAAGTGACAGTTAAAATAATATATAATTCACTTGAAGAAATTGAACCCCAGCCGTCAAGGGCCGTACTATAAACATGACGGTCGTGCAAGATCCGGCCATCCCAATGCCAAATGGGTCTAGGTTAGCATAGGTAAGTCTTCGTATTGTACACATGTACAGCGTGAAACCCGAGGAAATCTATGAGGTGCTTTTTTTTTCTTCTTCTTTTCTCTTAGAACCGTATCGCAACCATACACAGAGCCTGCAAAGTCGTCGGTAGAGGAAGCAGCTTCGATCCAACTTCGGCCGTACTGAGTTTTTTTTTTTCCTGGCCCTTCCCTTGGCCTTCCCTCCGTCTCTGCCTCTAGTCTCTAATTGCATTTCCACGCGCACCGGGCCTGGTAGTATTATTATTACATCCCTATGGATTTTGCGCTGCGAGGGCATTAAGATAGGCTTCCAAGTCAAAGTTGGGGTCCATCGGATCTTGGTTTACTGATCGTATCGTTAGTATCTATTTGACTTGTGCGTGGCTGTTGAAAACGTACGAGGACCCTTATTAGAAGTCGCAGGAGGGTTCTTGGCCTTCGCATACTCGGCCTTCGCCTTTTCTATTAACTGCTGCTTATGTTCATACTCCTTCTTTGCTGCGGCGGCCTTTTGCGAAGCGTTGATAGTTCTCTGGTGCGTTAAACCGTAGAAAACACCCAGGACAAGAGCCGAGTACCGGAGCACCTATCAAAAATATGCTTGTCAGTTATGGCTTCGCAGCATATCTCGGGCATACGGCAAAGCTAGCGCAGCACGTACGTTGACTCCCGAAGTGGTAGACATTGGGCCGATATGTGATAAGAGACGGAACGAGCGATCGATCAGCGGTGCACGGAACGGCGATGGGATGCCAATTGGCCCTGTTCCACGGGAGGGAGGAATTATCGAGGGTCGGGGGTTCGAGGTGGGAAGTGGAATGGTGAGAGAGTTGTTACGGAAGTCTGTGATGGCGTCGGGAAATTTCGCAGACTTAATTTTCACAAACCGAGCAGAAGCCACCTGCTAACCTAGAGGGATGTCGATACATGTGGTGGTACGAGCCGAGCTAAATAAGTGGGAATCAAACAGGTATAGCAGGTCTGAAACGAGCCAATGAAAACTAAGAACCGTAGGTAACTGGTCAAGTAACTTAATTTTTTTATTTTTTTTTTATCATTCTTTATTTTGAGACCTCTTTACTATGTAGTGCCTACCTAACAGGCTAACCTAACATACCTAGGTCCTATGTAGCTTAGGTACCTGTAATGTACTGGACACATGCATATTGTAAATTACCTAAGGTACCTAACTAAGGTAGGTGGGCGCACAGATGCTACCAGCGTCGCGATGTCCTGAGTCCCGACAAAGGAACGCGCATCGTTAAGGTTAGACGTACATAGTACTTCGTAGTGCCCGTTAGAATTTCAGTAACCGTCGCGATCTCCTTAACTTTAAACACTCTTAGTAAATCTCCAAATCTCTAAATACTTGCCTGTACCTAAATTGCGCCAAACCGTTGCGCACGTCTAGAAGAATATCAACAATACTTATAACACAATACCTAGGTGCACCACATCCGAATAAACCAACAACAACAACAATAACAATAACAAATTCCACCCGGCATGGGCCTCGGTGGAGTACAAGATGCAACAACGTCGAGATGAGATTCTAGCAAAGAAGGCGAAGCTCGCCGAACTCAAGAGACAGAGAGAATTAAGAGCTAGTCAGGCAGCCTCTGTTTCTAGACCTAGTATAGGCGGCGGATCTAGCGATGTCAGTCTTCATTCCGATCCGGCCATTTATCATTCTGGTAGTCATTCGCCCTGCCTCTTTCTCGCTAACTCCTGTCGTAGCTCATCTCCCCCACACCGGGTCGCGACAATCGCAAGGTCATCGAGTCCTTGATTAATAGTCTGGTGGGCGAAAGTCGACCTGCGTCTTCCACCACAGGCGTAGCATCCCCTGGCCTCCGAGGAAGTCGACCCAACAGCGTTCTCAGTGCTGACGAACTGAGCGGTGAGCATTCGGAATATGCTTCCCAAGTAAACGGCCAGCCTGCCTCGACCCAACCGCAGGTCTTAACAACCGTACCCCTTCAAACCGTATTCGAATGTCCACCGTCCCCCGTCAAGGAGATATTTTCCTACAGCAAAGGCGTGCAAACAACGGATGACTGGGCTCCCCCGGCCACTAGACCTAGAGCCTTTTCGGATGCCGAAGATGAGGATCTTCCTGCCACCTCCACTCCCAACAAGCGGTTGAGCAGATGGAAACGCGACAGGGAAGAAGAGCTACGTCAAAATTTACGGTTGGAGATCGAAGAGGAATTAAAGGCAGCTCGGGAGTTGATTACCGATGGCCCCCTGCAGACCAACTCTACCGTTACATCGAATTTCCCGGCTAGGGCGTTAAGTAGCGAGGAGCTAGAAGCTGTCGTGGCATCTGACGACTTCGTTGATTTCGTCGAACGTTCAACCAAGGTTATCGAGCGAGCGCTTGACATCAGCAATGAGTACGATATCTTAACAGACTATTCGCTCCAGGCCCACGATATCGAGGACGAGGATGAACAGGCAGGCAATACAGGCGGGAAGGGTCGCCGGCGAGTTAAGGAAGTTGTTCAATTTTACGATGATCGGTGGTCCAAAAAGCGTATGATCAGCAGCATTGATTTCTCGCCAAAGTTTCCTGAGCTTCTGCTGGCATCTTACACGAAAAATCCCTCCGCTCCCCATGATCCTGATGGCGTTGTGCAAGTATGGAATCAACATCTCCACGACCGACCTGAATTCCTCTTCCACGCTCAGTCCGATATTCTTACCGCAAAATTCTCCCCCTTTCACCCCAATTTAATCATAGGTGGCACATATTCCGGGCAAGTCCTCCTATGGGATACCCGGGCCAAATCCGCCCCTGTACAAAAAACACCGTTAACAGGGTCCGGTCATACGCATCCAGTATACTCAGTCGATATTGTTGGTACCCAGAATGCGAATAACATCATTTCGGTTTCTACCGACGGCGCTTTCTGCGTATGGAGCGTCGATATGCTTTCCCAGCCTCAAGAATCGCTTACTCTCACAACGCCACCTCCCAACAAGTTCGAAGACCTCGCGCCGACCACGATGGCCTTCCCTCAAGCAGACCCAACCTACTTCCTCGTTGGTTCTGAAGAGGGCCCGATTTACCCATGTCACAGGTATGATCGCGCCGGCGCCAAGGCAGGCGTCGACTCTCGCGTTTCCTACAAGGGGCACGCGGCCCCCGTTATGAGTGTTGATTTCCACCCGGCACGCGGCCCCGTAGATCTAGGCGACCTAGTTCTTTCTTCATCCCTCGACTGGTCCGTCAAATTGTGGAAAGTCCGCGCCCCAGCTGCAACTAGCACTATCGTCGAGAGCGCCGGCACTGCCGTACCCCCGCTCCTCGATTTCGTCCGCGAGGACGTTGTTTATGACGCCGCGTGGTCGCCTGTTCGCCCCGGCGTCTTTGCCCTTGTCGATGGAGCTGGCTCCCTCGAACTCTGGGATATCACCGTTGAGATCGAAATCCCCGTTGCCAAGATCAGTCCTACACCCCGCAAGGACGGTCGCCAGCTCTTGAGTAAGAGTCTAAATAAGGTCGCCTGGGAGACCAGCGAGGGCAAGAAACTGGCTACGGGTGGTATTGATGCCGTAGTCAGCGTATTCGAGGTCGGCCCCGATTTAGGTGGAAAGGAGGCAGTTCGGAGCGAGGAGTGGACCAATGTCAAGAAGCTTGTTGCGAGGCTTGAGGCTGGGGTTAGTGGAGGGGTTAGTGGCTTTGCATAAGCGAGCGATCATAATCGGAGGGTTTTTTGTTTCTAGTGCTACTCTTATTTGATTGTTGGGAGAGGAGAGCTCTTTCGGCCGTGGCCCTCGTGTTAGGAGGCAAAACGTGGGCTGGCTACCGTGCACAGGGCTATTATACCCAGCCCGAAAAATGGCGTTTGTCAAACGATGAGATGACATGGCGAGTTTGGTGTCGTGCCAGGTAGCCAATAACCTTGCCTGGCTATAACTAGGATTTTTAGATACTACTTGTTGATTAGCATACGCTTAATTAACCTGACCTTATGACGGGGTCCAAGAAAGGGGCTAAGTCTTTAAGTTAAGTCGCCGCATTATATTTATCTTGGCAACGTATATTCTTGTAGTAAAACATTATCGTGTCCAATGTCACTGCTCCCTACAAACTAGAACATACAAAGGTTCGATCTCATAACATACCCTCATCAATGATCGTAACTAGAGCCACCTCTTGATGCTCGGTTCCTATTCAATGTCGTCGACGGCCCAAACACCTACGCCCTTTTTCTGGAGGCTACCTCGAAGTTTTCCGAGCACGGCCGCCCTGCGCTCTCGCTTCTCTTTCACGGCCTTCTTCTCCGCATCTCCAAAGCCGCTTAGCTTCTTGCGCGGCGGAGTGTTCAACACGCCTCCGCCGATACTTCCTGATACCGAGTGACGCAATATGCTGCTACGCTGTGGCGTGCTCTCCCGCATTGAGCGCTCTGGAGAGAATACTGACGTAGATAGCCTCTTGGTGTTTGGTGTGGCGAAAGGTGAACCCTCGCGACTGCCTGGGCCGTACGGGTTAACCACCAGCTTTCGCATCTGGTTCTCGAGGACATCGATATCGCCGCTGCGTTTCTCGACCATGGTGGTCAGTTTGGTAATGGTGCGCACAACCGCTTCGATAGTCGGTGTTGGACCGCCCTTTCCATTAGCGCTATTCGCAGAGACGATCCTAGCCTTAAGTAGCGTTAAGTTTTCCTCCGCTTCTGTTAATAGCTTTGTAAACTTTGCGTATTCTCGTCGTAAATCGCTCTGCTGCGCTGCCTGTTCGGCACTGAGGGGGAGACCTCGATTTGCGATAGTCTGTTCCGGATCAACATATGAACTGATGATTTTCTTGAGATCTGCCTGCTTATTACGATCGCGAGCAAGTTCACGCTGGATATCTTCGCATTCTGCGACTTTGCCTGCCACATCTCTCACTCTTGCTTCTTCGAGGGAATTGGTCAAGTCATCGTCAATGATCTGAGCTAACCTCTCAAGCCCGATCAGTGTCCAGTTATCGGGAGTAGCCAAGTCCTGCCTCGTATATTCTTTTATATAGATCTCCTTATGTCCCTTAATGAAGCTCGCGAGGGACCGCGCATTCAGACCAAGAGTATCAATCATTGAGTTGATATCTCGGTAAACAGCCTCAACCTGTGCAGGTACACTATCACCCGCCGGTGGAACTGCACCTGAGTGGGCGATGAATTCGTCGAGCTCCAAAGTCGGCTCCAGCTCTGCTTTCAGCAGGTTTTGGACAGCATCATCCTCTTCGTCGAGGAGTAACTGCTTTTCCTCGGCTTCCTTTTTCGCCTTCGCTTTCCGCTGCTTCTCGATCATATCTTCGAGGTAGGCGGAATTGGCGACCGAGGGGGCGAGCTGAGACTGCTGTCGTCTAGGTGCACTAAGAGCTTGAGACGCCATACCAGGTGCACTAAATGATCGCGATTGATCTCTGCCAAGCATTCTTGCCGGTACCGAGCCTCGCACTGGACTTGGTGAGCGAGGACTAACGGGATTTGGTTGGGGGAAAATAGGAGCATTTCGGCTCAATTCGCCGAAAAGGCTGCGTCGGTCCTGATCTGGACGAGATATGGTTGAAAAGCTTCCTGCTAGGCCATCAAATGAACTTTGGGGTGTAAATCCCGGGGTCTTACTGATACTTGCACTGGAAGGGCTGAGATCTTTAGCAACGTCAACGCCGCTACCTTCGCTAACGGCCTCGGTACCTTCCTCCTCCTCCTCTTCCTCAGACAGGTCATCATCCTCACTATCTGACGGAACAGGGGGAGGATTTGAGGGGAACTTGAATCCAGGACCAACGACCTCGGATGGTGGCTTAGCAATGGGAAGTGCAGGTAACTTAGTTTGATAGGCTTTCGGTTGATTTATAGAATCCGGTGGTAGGGGCGAGTCATCAATGGGTTTGACCTGAGCAGCAGTCCCGGGCAGTGGAGGCAGAGTGTTGTATGCCTTCTTATTGAAGACAGGGTCAGGTGGCAGAGGTACATTGTCAGTAGGGGGGGGTGATATTTTGCGTGAGGTCTCATGGTCAGTTGGTTTGGGGGTTGAATCTGCAAAATCGGGCGGCAGAGGTACATCTTCCGCCCTGGAAGCCGTGTCCTTAACTTCTGAAATGGCAGAAGATGTCGAGGAGTCGCCTAATGAGTAAGTATCTTTGCTAGTAGACTCTGGAGGAAGAGGTGCGTCTATAATACCTTGAAGAGGCTTAGGAGTTTTTGGCTCCTCTTTTACTCGAGTTTCAGATGCTGGCGTCTGAGAGACAGAAGATCCAAAAACGCTGCTAAGGCCGCTAGGAGTTTTCGGTTGGAATTCGAAGATCCCCTTGCCTGGCGACGCTGACGATGTGGGCGACATAAATTTAGATGGCGCGGGCGTTGACGTCGGTGTAGTTGACTCCACGTTCGTAGATGGCGCTGGCTTCCCAAAAGAACTTTGTGACCCAGCTGCGAATGGGTTCGCAGCGGCAGGCTTTGCCGATTCATCTATTGTAGCTGCAAAATTCGAGCCAAACAATGACTTCTCCGTCTTAGGGGTCTTTTCGTCAGTATCGTTATCTCCCGCATTTGGATCACGTTGGAAACTAGACGTTAATTTAAACGGTTGTGACCCAAAAACACTCCCATCCCCTGTGCTTGGCTTGGAACTCGGAGCTCGGAATATGGAGGTAGTGTCTGTATCCATGGAAACATCGGGGGCGTCCGACTTTGTGGATGCGAATATACTCGATCCACTAGGAGTATTATTCGCCCCAAAAGAGGTAAAGCCTCCCTTGTTCGCGAAACTGGCAAACCCACCACTTGAATTGGTAGGGTTGGAGTTTGAATTCGCGAACGATCCCGCACTGCCGATATTGTTAGCATTGCTAGTGAAGCCTGCTTGGCCGAAACTAGGCGTGCTAGATGCGACAGATCCTGAAGCCCAAGGTGAAGCCCTTGCACCGAGTCCACTCGATTGCCCAAACGCTGGCGCAGTACCGGTGCCAAAATTTGATGTGCCAAAGGAGCTTTGACCAAATTTCGGTGCCGTGGAAGCAGCACCGGTGCCAAAACTACTCGATCCAAATGAAGGCTTACTGGCATCGCTTGAGGAAGGCTGAGCTCCCCAAGGCGAACTCTTCTGGCCCAAGGCCGAGGCGCTACCAAATGCCGCCCCCGCCGTCGTTGGTAGGGCTCCAAAAGCAGACGAGTTTGAGGTAGCAAATGGGTTTGGTTGGGCGGGTTTCGGAGTCGTCGTTTCGGTAGAGCTTGTCGCGTTGCCCTGTACGGCTACAAGCCCAGGGTACGTAGTCCCCCCCCTAATAGATTCAGAATATACAACCCACCAGACAGAGAGTACACCTTCGGCGTTCAGAGCCCAATAACCTGGTAATGGGCCGGGCGACTGATCTAACTCGTCGGTAGGTATAGGTTTGTAAACACTCTCTCGACTGGACAGATCAAGGGCTGTGCCGATTACTGGTGGCGTCTCCATTCCGTCACCCATCGGTAAAGTGGCACGTTTAGAGTCATCGGCCAACTCAGTAGTAGTGAACACATTCGATGGAGCACCTGGGGCCAGCGGCGTCTTCGAGCGCGTAATTAAACCGATATCTTCTCTAGCTGTGGAAGAGCAAATGATGAGGTCTGAGAGATTTGGTGGGAAGTCCTTCAGCCGCACAAGCGTGTGATGCGGGGTTTGGTTGGTGCCAAAGGGCTCTACGGGGTCGCTGAGCTCTTGGAATTGGAAGTTCTCCTTTTGTCTTGTAATTATGTGGCATCTAGTCCGGGGAGTGTCTCCCGAAGCAAATACGTGGAAGGCTAGGAAAAGATCGTTCTCAAGCCAAACCAAGGACGAAACTGAGCAGTCATTAGCTTGGAAAGTTGCCCAATGGAAACAGGAGACCTACCAAAGTAATTTGCATCCAAATCCGGTGGCCTGGGAATATTTGCTTTCACATCGCCATTGGGTAGCATCTGCTGTATGAAACCGTCACCAAGACCAGCAACCAACTGCTTTCCCTTATTACTCCAGGCGACGCAACTAACTTGATTCCTCAAGATCTGTCCGGTAGGTCGTGATATAAAGTTACGGTCCTTCATGTTTGCCATTAAAAGGTTGCCTTCACTCGTTACGACGGCGCATAGCTCACTCATCTCCAAACTGGGGTTTGGGGCCAGAGCCCTGAGTGACTCGCCAATCGTGGGTATCTCGAAAGCGACTTGCGTCGAGCCTTGCCGTATCGCTTGGGTCTCATACACTGCTAAACCTCCACCTTGCTCGGCCGATAATATTAAATAGGCTCCGTCGCTGGTAAATGCCAATTGAGATATTCGCGTAGGCAAGGATAATTTTAATGGAGGCTCGAAATTTCGGATGTCGTTGTCGCCATCTTTAGGGCTCGCAAATGCCTTTCGAACAGCTTCTGTGGTGGCTAATACGACGCCATCAGGAGCAGCGGCAGCAACAAGGCCTTGTCGCGACGCGATGCTAAGAAGGGAGGCATTATCGGCGGGGGGCGGAGACCATTGCGACGTTAAACGTAGCTTAGCATCACCAGATAATGACAAGAATCCGAGGGCTTCGGTCTGAATAGGATCCGAGGGCCCTTGAACGGCGCCCCCGGCCGTCTGTCCCGCATTTACGAAGCTGAAAGCCATTTCAATGGCAGAATAGATACTTGTTTCACGAGAAGGTGTTCATAGAATACTGGATATCGCCTTAGTAGATAGAGTCGTCGGGTATCGGATGCTTCGAATGGTATGAAAGACAAAGCTTCCAAGATAGATCTTGGCGGACGAAGCTCTTCAATATTGGTCTTATTGGAATACTTTCTGGTGTAGAAGTATCTTTCAGGCAGGCAGGCCTGTCTACATGAAGGAGGGTATGTGACAGCAACGTAAAAAGAAAAAAAAATATATAAAAGTGAAGTGTGTTGTACAATGGCGCGAGAGAAACTTAAGCTCAAATTTCTAAAGACGAGATGCGCCTAAGAAAAGGTAAGTTACCACTGCGTGCCTAGGAACGTACCTACAGATATTCGCGTTACCCCTGCAACTGCGTCGGAGCTTGGGATTGGTTGGCTAATATAATTGACCAAGTACTGTATACACTGTATATACCTGATAGATATATATATTTTGCCATAGTTATGATGTACACTATAAGTACTTTTTGCTGTTACCCCAATCAATGTACATTGTACAGTTCTGTTAGGCAGGCTAGAACGCGTGCACTGGGCAGCTGGGAAGAAGAAAGGTAGGTAGGACCAATGCAGGCAGCTACCTAACTGAGGTCCTTAGTCGTCATCCGCCTTATTATACCCAATTCGCAGCAAACAACCGCATTCTCTTAGATCTAAATCCACGATTTCACTACCACCAGCATATATCCCTTTTACACTCCCAATACGTGACTGCTATATACCAGGTCGCATCGGAGTTTCACGCCTTAATCTACTCTAAGAAAAGGATCGTCATAAAACAAGCCAGCATGCCTGGTTTCGACTTCTCAAACTACAATCGTAATGCGGCTCTGCACGCCCGAGGTGTCCCGCTGCCAAAGGCAACTAGCACCGGTACTACGATCGTTGGATGCATATTTGACGGAGGCGTCGTGGTTAGTATAATTTTTTTTTCTCATTTGTTCTTTTCAGATTGCCATCTCTAGCTTTCCCTTCAAAATGACGGCACTAACGCAAGGCTGACCACAAACAGATCGCAGCTGATACTCGAGCTACTAGCGGCCCTATTGTCGCCGACAAGAACTGCGAGAAGCTGCACTATATCTCGCCACAAATTTGGTGCGCCGGTGCTGGTACCGCCGCCGATACAGAATTTACCACCGCCCTCATCTCTTCCCAACTCGAGTTACACTCTCTCTCGACTGGTCGGAAACCCCGCGTTGTTACATGCATGACTCTCCTCAAGCAGCATCTCTTCCGATATCAAGGTTATATCGGGGCGTATCTAGTCGTTGCCGGGGTTGACCCTACGGGAACCCACCTGTTCACCGTACATGCCCACGGTAGCACAGACAAGCTTCCTTATGTCACTATGGGTTCCGGATCGCTAGCAGCCATGTCCGTTTTCGAATCGCAGTGGAAGCCGAACTGCACCAAGGAGGATGCCATAGAGCTCTGTTCACAGGCTATTCAGGCCGGTATCTTCAACGATCTGGGGTCGGGATCAAATGTCGACATAGCTGTCATTACCGCAGACAAGACTACCTTACACCGTGGCTTCGTCAAACCGAACGAGCGTAGCCAGAAATTGAAGAACTACAAATTCAAACGCGGTACTACAGCAGTACTTAACGAGAAGATTATCACCAAGGATGAGATCGGAAAATACGTCAGCGTGCACGAGCTGGAGTCGGCAGAGGGTGAACGAATGGATGTCGATTCGTGAGATAAGGACATGTACCGTTGATCCTCTGTACCGATATATTATGGTAATGCAAGAGTGTTATCCTATCAACGACGTATGTAATCCATACAAATGAAGCTGTGAAGAAAATTCTTATTTAGTTATGGTTATGATAAGACGCTTTACAGAATATCGTCCATGGTACATTGTATCCAAGTAAATTGAATCTTCATCCTCCGGGTTAGATACTTGGTTCATACACTATCTACCGAGGACCATATTCGCATTAAACGTATAAATCATTACCTAGGTAGTATTTAACAATCTGGTCGACGCAATACTAATGCTGTCTACCTTAGGTAGGTACGTAAACTCAACACCGCACCCGCCCTTCCCCAAAAAAGGGTCCAAAGGGGGAGCTGCGCTTTAATTAAGAAAAGGTTAGTCCAACCTTTCACAACAAAACTTGTGCAAACCTCCATAGATTACCTACCTAGCTGCCTAGGTAGGTATGCATGCGGGGAATTCAACGCATGCGGAGAAATCACCTCAAAGGATCAAATTATTACACCGCACCTACGCTTACATTACCTAGGTATCCACCTTCCTCACATACCAAGGCATATAAGTCAGTTATCATTAGCTAATCTCCGCCCTAATATCCCCAAGTTAATTACCTAGGTACCTAAGTAGGTAGTTAGTCTTGTAGGTCAACATCACAAGTGAGGATATGAATGACGGTGCTTGCTTGCCCAGCCACTACTCCAGCCGGGGTATAGGGGTATAAGCAAGTCTGCTGACAGGCTAGGTAATACCTAGGGTAAAGCTAAACAAGATAGCTTCCAAAGTTTTCCACAAGTAACGGTCTATAAATTCATGAGTTTATACCTGTGAGGCTCTCTCGTACATCCAAATTGTTCTTGCCCCGGATGGTCCCCTTCTTACTCTCTCTTTGTTCCACCTGTGATCCCGTACGACCCAATTCATCGTCACACTAGAATCTCGGACATAGTGTGAAATGGCAAGCCTAAGGCACATAACGGCGGCATTGGCTTTTGCCTCGCCTACAGTAGTCTACGGTCTCTACCAAAACGGCTCGAGCTTCTCACCTTGCGATTCACCCCTTTATTGTCAAGGTGAAGTTTTAAAGCAGATCGAATTAGCTCGGCCTTTCTCCGACTCCAAGACATTTGTAGACCTGTAACTATGACTTTCTCACCTAGACTGAGACCGCATCGGCTAACGAACGAGCAGGCCAACTAAGGTGCCTCTAGACGAGGTTCTAGCTGCCTTTGACAAGCTCAATAAGCCGCTCAGTAACAATACGGAGCTTCACGACTTCTTGTCAACTTACTTTGGTCAGGCCGGGTCCGAACTAGCTCAGGTTCCTGTAGACCAGCTAGAGACCGATCCCACATTCTTAGACGGCATTGATGATGCCGTGGTCAAGCAATTCGTGCAGAAGGTCATCGACATATGGCCCGATCTGACTAGGACTTGTAAGTAGCTTGTCGAGACAACGATATGGGGATAGAATATGCCTTATCTAAATCAACCAATACTAACTAACTGTTAAAGATGTGGGTGCTGCCAATTGCACGGGATGCGTGGGAAGTTTTATTCCTATCAATCGCACTTTCGTCGTCGCTGGTGGCCGGTTTAGAGAGCCTTACTACTGGGATTCATTCTGGATTCTGGAAGGTTTGCTAAGAACTGGCGGCAGCTTTACTCAAATATCGAGGTTGGCCTTTTACCTGAATCCAAGGCTTTATAATACAAATCTAACCTAGTGTTCTAACACTCCACCAGGAACATCATTGAAAACTTTCTCGATTTCGTTGATAAATTCGGGTTCGTTCCCAACGGCGCACGTTTATGGTACGAACAAAACCCCCTTTCCTTTTCCTCCACGAGTCTCAACTGAGTTCCCTAACTATATTATTCATAAATCGCCTTGGGATATAGATGCTAACAAATCAAATAGTACGTAAACCACACAATTCCTCACGCTGTCTGCCTATAAATCCTTACTCGACAAGAGATGCCTGTTCGGTTTGAAGATGATTACCTTGACGAGAAAATTGACGTGTCGCAGATTATTTGAATCGCTCTCAGCCGCCCCTCCTGACGCAGATGGTTAAGACTTACATCGACTATACAAACGATACGAGCCTTCTCGAACGCGCCTTGCCTCTACTTATCAAGGAGCATAACTTTTGGATTGAGAATCGCACATCAGCAATCACGTTTGGCGATGAAACCTTTCATCTAGCACAGTAGGTGGCATCTAGAGAGTCTATATCCACGCTTTGCTTAATAATATCTTAATTGCTAATACCAAATTCGTAGCTACGGAGTCCAGAACACTGAGCCACGACCAGAGGTATGTGGTTACTATAATTCTCCCTTTTCTTTTTAGCCTCTCCCCTAAAAGTCAAGGAAGCTACATAAACCTAGCAGTTAGATAGCCGCCGCAACTTTTGTCACACCTCTAACTTACGATGTAGTCATACCGAGAGGACTATATTACGGCCAACAATAGGTCCTACTACGCAGCTTCTGGTATCATCTATCCCGAATCACGCCCTCTGAATGAGAGTGAGAAGGCCGAGCTCTACTCTAACCTTGCTTCGGGAGCTGAATCTGGATGGGATTACACCGCACGATTCATTGCTAACCCATCCGACGCCGCCAGGGACGTTTATTTCCCGCTGCGCTCTCTCAATACGAACAAAATAGTTGCTGTGGACCTGAACTCGATACTGTATGCTAATGAGATAATTATTGCGAGTTATCTAGAGAAGAGTGGTGACAGCACGTTAGCTACGGAATTTGAGCAGTTAGCCAGAAATCGATCAGAAGCTATGTATGCGCTGATGTGGAACGACAAGTATACGAGCTATTTCGATTATAACCTAACCTCGGGGACCCAAGATATCTACATACCACTGGACGCGGATGCTACCACGGCGCAGATATTAGACGCTCCCGAAGGTTACCAGGTTTTCTTTCATATCGCGCAATTTTACCCTTTCTGGTTAGGTGCAGCACCTCCGCAGCTTAAGAACAATCCCCTGGCCGTGAAGCTCGCATTTCAGCGTGTTTCCGACTTCGTCACTGAGAAGGCTGGCGGTGTAGCCGGCACGAATTACCGAACTGGCCAGCAGTGGGATCAGCCGAACGTATGGCCGCCGCTGATGTATGTGCTTATAAAAGGCCTGCTCAACACACCCGCGACTTTCGGCAAGGAGGATCCTGCATACATCGAAACCCAGGATCTTTCTCTCAAGCTAGCACAGCGCTACTTGGATAGCACGTTCTGCACATGGCGTGCAACGGGTGGCTCTACGGATGAGACGCCGAAACTAGAGGGACTCGGTCCAGAGAATGTGGGAATTATGTTTGAGAAATGGTACGTATTAAAGTTCCTAGAGCGACTCTGGACTAAAGCTAACGTGGTTGTAGTACGTCGTTCTCCTCTTCCGCCATATAGTTTTTTCTACTCTTGAACGCATACTTGATTAGAAGATATATATTCAAAGCCTCGATAAACACTAACTCTTCGTAGATTCCGACGATTCGACCAATGTTGCCGGTGGCGGAGGCGAGTACGAAGTCGTCGAGGGATTCGGATGGACGAACGGGGTACTGATATGGGCGGTCGACACGTTTGGCAACAAGCTGAAGCGGCCAGATTGTGGCAATCTGACAGCAGTTAATCCCGACCGGAAATTGAAGAAGCGGGATAACTTTGGTCAACGAGCCGTTGAGTTATCCCCATATGACGCTAGGTGGATAGCAAATCCCCGCCGATCATCATGAAGAGGCCTAGATGCGTTGAATCGCCCGGGATGTTAAACTCATGATAGACAATAGTATGTAGAGGTGGATCTCTAGATAACACAGGAGCTGCAACTTGGTATGATATCCTGTACCTGAAAGATATTTATAATTCGTTATTGGCACAAGACATGAATTATATATTGATTTCTTCGCTTCTTTGGCACAAGTGCCGGGTAAAGTAACTATCACATAGATGAAGCGTAGTAATTATTATTATTATTATTTTTTAAAAAAAAATCGAGTTTACAATACCTCCTCAGGAATAACAGGGTACAGGGTGATCTGTTGTATAGATGTTAGTCGACCCGAAACTCCTGGGCTTGACCCCCTTTATATAATGCATTGTTCATTAACGGAGTTGAGATGCTATCTCCCCAGATAAGGAATACTGATCTACCGACATCTTGTGGGTCAGTCTACTGTGATGCCACCTCACTACGAAGTATGGCCGCCTTCAAAGTTGCATAGGTAAGACTATTAGCTGAGTTACTTCGTTGTTACTAACATGGTATATATATATGTATAAAGAAAAAGAAAAGCCCATAGGTGCTCGATGCCTACCTAAGATAAAATAAGCAATATGTATAGTATCCTAATAATCCGTTTTTAGCAATATCTCCGTCATATATGATACTTTTACCGCGCAAGCCGTTGGTCCTATCTACGTTGACAGACCGCGGACTCGGCTTGAGATCATGAACAACGCTGGTAACAAATATTGGTCCAAAGATGAAGAAGATCTGAAGCTCGTCTGCGATAGCTTAGTTATCGCTATTCTCTGGGTATACGCATCGGAATATAAGTTAGATAGTGAGTGGTCATTTCAATTTGTCACGCTAGATTCCGATGATACTAATATAGTTAGTTAGTTGGATGTTTAGTTCTTGCTTACATACAACCGGGCTTTGGACAGTTATGTTTCATTTGACGGCAGCAAGCCTTCTGGAGAGAAGGAAGTCGCCTTAAAGGGCAAGGGATATATACCAGCTTATTTGGGGAAAGCAGTGAATGTTACGTGGCTTGGCATGTTCAGGTTTTGACGCATCTCGTCGCAGCTGTCGTCGCAGCTAAATTCATCCAGTCAGCCGGTGCAATCGGATGTGAATAAGAGGTACCCCACTTGAAATGTATAAATTTTGGAATGGATAGGTACCTCAGCTAGGCAAGTCTGCATTATGTACATCCTGATGCAAATATGCCCTTGCAAGCGTGTACGTAAGCTCTTGGAGGTATTTTAAGTGCATATGTTCTAGCCCGCCTTTAAAACTAGCCCCCCGGTAACATGCAGTTGGTCCCTTGATCTCGGTTCAATTGTTCGCTGGAAAGGTGAAGGTGGCCTTTCGATTAATACACGTATCTCAAGTTTGCATCTATCACGCCGAACCGGATATTCCAATGCGGCGTCTACGGTGATTTTATATATTTTTCTCTATTGGTTCTGGTTATTTGCCTTGCCATTGACCTTTCCTACAACCTTAGGTACCCAGGTGCTAAAATAGTCCAATTCGGGTCAAGGTTTTGTTCACGTCGCGCAGAAACTCGAGTTGATTTGACCTGCGCAGCGTATCCGACATGCCTCCGAAATCGAGATTCACAAGGCTAGATGCCTTCACTAAGACCGTCGAAGATGCGCGCATACGAACTACCTCCGGCGGGATCGTTACCATCGTATCCCTCATCATCGTTCTCTACCTTGCCTGGGGGGAATGGTCAGATTACAAGAGGATCGTTATCCACCCCGAACTTATCGTCGACAAAGGCAGAGGTGGGTTCAATGCCAAAATGCTCCCCTGTCCATCTTCAAGATTCTTACGCCCTCGATCGCAGGAGAGCGAATGGAAATTCATATGAACATCACTTTCCCTAGACTGCCTTGCGAGCTCTTAACCCTCGACGTGATGGACGTTTCCGGCGAGCAACAGCATGGCGTGTTGCATGGTGTGAAGAAAGTCAGGCTGCAGCCCATTTCGCAAGGAGGAGGTGTTATTGATGTTACTGCTCTATCTCTGTGAGTCAGATCATCTCACAATCTGTCCCAATTCCACCCAGCTAACCAGCTCAGCCATGGTAAGGAAGAGACCGCCCAGCACCTGGACCCCAACTACTGCGGCCCCTGCTATGGTGCCCCCGCCCCAGCTAACGCCGCGAAACCTGGTTGCTGCAATACCTGTGACGAGGTTCGGGATGCATATCAGCAGGCGTCCTGGGCTTTTGGTAGAGGCGAAGGTGTTGAGCAATGCCTGCGGGAACACTATGCCGAGAAGCTAGATGAGCAAAGACACGAAGGGTGCCGGATTGAGGGAGCAATTCGCGTCAACAAGGTTATTGGTAACTTTCACTTTGCGCCGGGCCGAAGTTTCAGCAGCGGTAACATGCACGTCCACGATCTGAAGAACTACTGGGATAGCCCGGTCCGCCACTCATTTGAGCACGAGATTCACCAGCTTCGCTTTGGACCTCAGCTCCCTGAAGATATCACCCGGAAGCATGCCAAAAATAGCCCCTGGACTAACCACCACATCAACCCTCTTGACCAAGTCAAGCAGACCACCGATGACCCTGCCTTCAACTTCATGTACTTTATCAAGGTTGTCCCCACTGCGTATCTACCGCTTAGCTGGTCAACGACAAACGGACACAACAAACAACTTGACGACGAGATCTGGTTGGGAGGCCTAGGTCACGCGACCGATGGCAGCATGGAGACTCACCAGTACTCAGTTACGAGTCACAAGCGAAGTTTGGCTGGCGGCGATGACGCAGCTGAGGGTCACCAAGAACGCATGCACGCGAGAGGTGGTATTCCAGGTGTATTCTTTTCCTACGTAAGTACTTTTCTCCCGCTCTAGTGACGGACGACTTCTAACAGGAAATAGGACATTTCTCCAATGAAAGTTATCAACCGTGAGGAACGCGCGAAAACTTTCACCGGCTTTCTAACCGGCCTATGTGCTGTGATTGGCGGTACATTGACAGTAGCCGCGGCTGTGGACAGGGCTGTATTCGAAGGTGCGACGAGGCTGAAGAAGCTTCAATCGAAAAATCTTTAGAGAGAAGAATACCATTTGGTACAATTTCAAGTGTAACTTACAAGCATTGTTATGATAGGTTCTTTGCTGGATTCAGTAACGCATAGGAAAATGGAGTTGCCGGTTAGATTTTAGAAATAGTCTTTTTCCTCGTTGAGATGCTCAAAGTGTTGTGTTTCACCAGTAGTTGTTATTTTAATTCTCTACGTACCTTAAGATAGGTATATTGTGTTGTATCCGCATGTGTCTATTTAATCTTTTCTTTAGGTAGTTTATTATTCGCCGAATTTCTTCACCCCTTGACGTCAATCTCCCGAAAGAATTAGTTGAACCAGGTACCAGGTATATTATGTAATTGTTCCTGATTTCATTTCGACCCTGATAGGAATGTTCATAGTTGGAAAGTAGGTATAGGTGCATTTAATCCGTACCTCACCGGCCTGGTAGAGGTATATCGAGTTGAGCTCCGACGATTGGCCAAGCGGTCAAGATCACTACTCCTGGGATTCCTGGGATTCGCTAACCCTGTTTGGAGAATATAACCACATCATTTTACTGCCAGTGGCTTTCTAGATCCACAAGGAATAGTCTAGGCAATGGCGTCAGGGGGGCGACCAACTTAAGATCCGTTTTTCCACTCTTTGAATGCTGAGACTTGGATTCGTATGCTGTTTGTTTCCGATTGCTGAGCACATGCGTAGTTCGGTCATATTTTACGAGCTACATGTACACTATTGTGGAAGGCCACCCTTATGTACAAGCTGCCTGTTCATCATTATATGCATGGCGCTATCATTAGGTAGGTATATAAAGTACCCGCATATGCATCAATGGTAAAAAAAAAATTAAATTGAATTTATTACATAGTAATGTGCAGTACCAAGTACATGTACATGTAGGTACCAAACTCTCCTTTAGTCACTACCTAGGTCCCCCCCCAATCAACCTGTCCTGCAGGATGCACTGATGCAGGCTATATTATTATTAGGTAGCCAAGTCCAATGTTCCCTATGTCAAACTCCCCTAATGAGGAAAGGCTGCCCCCGGATTGCTTTCATTCATTTCGGGAGACCATGTGTACTACATTAGGTATGTACCAAGGTATGTATGTAGGTAGGCAGGGTTAAGTACCTCCTAGGTCGTTACCCGTCCGTTTGTGTGGTTGTGCACTAACCTAAATAGTACCAGTAGGGGTTTGGTAGGTCACTAGGTATGTAGGTAGGAGCAATCTGGCTGGCTCCTGGCTATTCTCTTCGACCCTCTCCTTCTGACCATTGTACCCTGGGGTAATGTTCAAAAATCATCTTTGATTGTTCACCTTCTCCCCAACCTAGCCTACACCTATTTTTGCTCATAAAGTAAAGATTCACTTTCTATTTCATATTCTCTGCCATCCTGTTGCCCAAGCTAGGTACTCATTTGGTGGATTATTTCATCGTCCGTTCCTTGCCCCTACATGTAACTTGCTAAGTTATTATTTGTACCAATACCAATCACTTTTTCTCGCTCTTTTATCTCTTCTGTGATCACCCCTTTCGTCAACCTTCGGCCTCATTGTATATTTCCCATACTGCCTTCGTACATAATTGCGCGGCATCCAGAAGAAGTTGGCAATTGTCTCTTGTCAATCCTACACACAGCACATTACCACCCTCCTAAAACAGAAGACTCCAGTTTGGCTCACTTCGATCCTCTATATACGCCGATCATACTGTCGCAATACCGCTCCCCAGGTAGATATCCAAAGCCGACTTAATGTTTTATGCGCTCCTGGAATATCGCCTCTACAAGCTTCGTTTTCGATTTTCGAATATCTGTCAAATACCTTTGATTTGAATTGCGGACTGCGCCTTGCTCGGCATTCGGTTACCATCTGAATTCGTCCTAGTCGCCTGGTTTCCAGGCGGATCGGGAAATCCAACAATACATACGACCTTGTTTCGAGGTCAATTACCCTTCACCAAACACCTGTTTTGATCACAATCTTGATAATAATCGCCTTACCATGTCCAACCGGCCCAATTTTATCGACCTAAGGGCCAATTCCTCAGCCTCGGTTAACAGCAGTGCTTCTCGTCCCTTAAGGTCACCACGATTACATGTTGCTGGCGAGGTTCCTCCCGCCCTATCTCCTCTCGATGCCTTCGCCGCTCAGAGTCGCTTGCTCGCCAAGCAGCTCGAGGATAGCGCCAAAACCGGGAGACGGATGAGCCGTTTACCCCCACTGACAACTGACAGCCCATTGATTGTCCAAGGTCGTTCCGAATACTTTCGCTCTATGTCGTACGACTCCTCCGAGGAACAACCTCCAGAGACTCCACAGCAAAATACCGGGCTTGGATTGACTACCGAGATTGAATCGCCATCTGAGCGCCCTGTTTCGATGCACCCTCGAATGAGTCGCATACCTCCCACACCGGACCAATCGATCCCAGTTCCCCCAAACCCGTTTCTCGAGAATGCACGTGGTCGAAACCTTGAGAAGCTTCAGGAGGACGAGGGGATGTATGGTGCGCGCCGAGAGGAATCGCCCGGCGACTTGGAAAGTGTAGCGGATAAGACAGCAGACCATAAGCTGGCAGATGATAACATCGAACCCAGAGAGCTTTCGCCCACGAGCACACGCTTTCCGTCCTCGCCAGAGAAGCTCACTAAGACGATATCGCATGAATCAGCTGGGTTGGTTCCGCCACGGCCTATCTTTCCGAAGCGTTCTTCGAGTATAATGTCGGCGCCCTTGGATGCCAATAATGACGATACCTTAAGTGCTTCTTTTCACTCACAGCCAGCACGAAAGCTTTCATCGGGCAGTAGTTTCTCGGGGCCAGGTCTTGCATCACCAATTGCCCATTACCAACGATCTCCCTCAATCAGTTCTGAAGCTTCTGCGCCCCTGCCACGTCCTGCTTTCAACTTCTCTCGACCGCTTAGCCGGACTGGTACACCAGGTCTAGACCCACCGACTCGACAAGCTTCGTCGGACAGCCAGCCATCCTTTGTGCTTGCCGACGAGACTGCACACACACCAGTCAGCATGCACAGTGAGGCTTTCTTAGAGAGCAGTTTCACAGAGGATGGGAAAGGTGCACCTTCGTATATTTACTCTAAATACGCATTGCCGAGAGGTAAGTCGTTACAGCGCAATTCGGTTATTTTCCGCGACCCTGAGCCATCAAGGGCTGGTCAAGCACCGCCGTCGCCTCCTACCAGGCCTTCAAGTTCCTCGTCGAGAATGCAAGAAGGTCAACACGGAGCCGATTCTCTTCTAGGACGTCCATCCGTGGAACGAAGTAAACTTTCGAATCAAATGTCTCTAGAAGAGAGACAACCGTCACCTGATCCTAGTCGCCCGTCAACTGACACGACTAGGCCATCGGAGGACGCGCCTAGAGGGCGCACGCTTACATCCCCACTCCACGAACAAGCTCGAGGGCGAACGTCAATGTCAGTATCTACAAGCGACTCAGCCAGCACCATTAAGCCGCCGAAATCGCAGCATTCTAATGCGCCTACGGCGTCTGAAATGAGTGCGGAAGAGCATTTGGCGAAGGGCATCAAGTGTCATGAGGAAGGTTCCGTCAAAGAATCGACCTACCACCTGCGACTTGCTGCGCGTGCCGGCGATCCAACGGGTATGCTATTGTATGCGTTAGCTTGCAGGCACGGGTGGGGCATGCGACCGAACCAACGAGAAGGCGTTGAGTGGTTACGGAAAGCTGCTGACGTTGTTAGCGCTGAAATTGCGGAAGATGAGGATCAAGCCAAGGAGGGTAAAACAGTAGATTTTATGGATCACAAAACCCGTAAGGCCCAATTCGCCCTGAGCATTTATGAGTTAGGTGTCAGCCATATGAATGGTTGGGGTATCGAGCAAGACAAAGCACTTGCATTGCGATGTTTCGAGATTGCCGGCAGTGAGTGAATTATTACAAGAAATTCGTGAGACGTGATCTAACTAGTTTGACAGGTTGGGGCGATGTTGATGCCCTCGCCGAAGCTGGCTTCTGCTATGCCAAAGGTGTGGGTTGTAAAAAGGACCTTAAGAAGAGTGCCAAGTTTTACCGCATGGCTGAGGCTAAGGGCATGAGCATGCCGGGAAACAGCTGGTTAGTTCTATTTCAGCTAGGTGGTGCAACGCCTTGGACTAACGCTACGTCAATAGGATACACAAGTCGAAATACAACGATGATGCTGGCAGCCCGAAGTCGAAACGCGGCCGCAGCAAGTCGAGAAGTAGAGCGATATTCCATAAAAAGACATAAGGAAAGGAAAAGGGAGTAAACCCGGAGGCAGGCTACACAATTATGGTTCGAGTCGGTTTTTTTTTTTTAACTTGCCCGGCGTTTGGTGGCAGCATATATCCAACAAAAGCAGCAAAATACTATTCCAGTGGCGTGACGATCAGGGGCCAGGTTGCATTCCTTCTTTACAAACTATCATTTTACGCATAATACTCGCGATTATGAGCCAGTATCAAGGGGAGTATACTCTCTCGTGCCGGAGCTATATCACGCGAGGGTACAAGCAAAGTTCAGGAGGATCGTGTCGATATCTGGGTCAACCGTATATACGAAGAGCACTTCAGAAAGGAGCAGGTTCTTAAAAAGATAAAATACCCGTATGCGTTGTATATAATGGAATCCTCTACACAGGCCGACAAGGAAAGCGTCGAGGAACAGGTTGTGGATGGCAAGGAAGCCAGATCTAGATAGTCCCAAGTTTTGGGAGAAGGTGATGCTGAGAGATATATGGCCCGCTAGAGAAGCTGGGTAATTTCTAAGATTTGTCAGGCGTTGTTCTCGACAAGAGCAGGGCGAGTTTCTCCTGTTAACTCTTATACTGTCAAACATATCTATTGCTACTGCACAGTGTGTGCGTAGACCAGCAGAACCAACTCAGAGCTTTGACATTCTACATAGCAGTGGGTTTTCGTGTATTGTTCTGTCTATATTGGCTAGAATCTACCCCCCTCCCCGTGGGTGAGTTTTCTTGAAAGCACAACATATTAGATCAACTCGGCCACGTTAAGAATTATTTCCATAAATGCCTCGGTGTTCTGCCTCCTCTTGATTCCCGTTTGGGTCGCCAGCCCCTTTCTCAGCTGCCAATTTCTCAAAGACGCCTCCCAGTCTTTGGATAGCTTCCTCGCCGATCTGGTAATGCGTTATGATGCGTTGACCGTTAACTTTTAAGCCGGCTTCCTTAGCCAACTCGATAAATCTAGGTATGCTGGAGTTTAAAGATCTTAAATCGAGCCAGATCATGTTCGTCTGGACGGGAACTAGCACCCTACCACCTAAATCTGTCCACATCTTCTCGACGCGCTTGGCAGTCGCGTGCGTGCCCTGCAGGAGCCCACCCTCGCCATTCGGTCCTTTCCCGAAGGTGACATCGACCGCTACCCTAGCTGCGGCCGTGACGACACCGGATTTATGCAGGCCGCCTCCAATAGCCTTTCGCACCCATCTAGCGTGCTTGATGAGGGGTTTGCTGCCGACAATTATGCTTCCGATCGGAGCCCCCAAGCCCTTGGAGAAGCATAGAGAAACAGTGTCAAAGTATTGGCAGTAGTCCTGGAGCGAACCAGCGCCGGAGGCTACTACCTCCCATAGCCTGGCACCGTCGCAGTGCATGCGTATGTCATTCTCCCGCGCGAACTCTGAGATCCTTCTCACCTCGTCCAAGGGCGTGATCAAACCGTCCAGTGTATTTTCGAGGCTGATGACGCGTGTCGGGCAGGAATGCACGTCGTCTCCAAGCACAATGTTGGACTTGATGTCCTCTAGCGTCAAATATACGCCATTGCTAGGCACTACGGGAGTAATCATAGCGCCAGACAGAGACGAAACGCTATATGTAGGAGCCGCAATGGTTAGTCTCGGTCAGGTAGGATACAGAAAGGAAGACAGGTTTTTACCCTCCAGCCTCGTATACAATAATATGAGAACGGTGGTCAGCCAGCACGCCATGGGGAGGCTGAGTGAGCAACGTACGCAGGGAGATTTGGTTCCCCATGGTGCCGGAGAGCACAAATAGGGCAGCCTCCTTACCTGTTAGCGAGGCTACATGGGCTTCCAGGTCGAGGGTGGTTGTGTCCTCCTGATAGACGTCGTCCAAAAACGTCGTTTGCTGAACAGCGAACAGCATAGCCGGAGTTGAAGTTGTCATAACATCGCCTACGTGCCATAACAATGTGTAAGTGATGTAGGGCAGATAGGCCAAGGGGGATGGCGGTTGACAAGCTGCTTACTTCTAAGGTCAAAAGCGGCAGGACCTCGATGACCTAGCCAGGTTCCGGCCAAGTCGTCTTGGGATTTCCCAGGGGTAGACATAACGGCAGATGAAGAATGAAAAGAACTGAAATGAAGCACGGGCCGTAATGGGACGGGAAACAACCGCGGGGTCGACAAGCATTTTATAGTCCATTTTATAGTCTTGCCTCGGCCCGTTGACCGGCCGAGTCTGGCCGCATCGGCAAGCACGGTTTTAAGGAGAGGTGTTCCGAAGACCCCCATGGCTGATTCTTCCGAGGTCCTAATGGTTCTAGCGAGGAGGAGGTAGCTTCTTTGCGAGATTGAATAAGCTAAGGCGGATCGTACAACCAGATGGTATCGGCTACGCACCAACCGTCCTAAGTATACTGCCAGCTGCGCAACAGGTGGCAGGCGTACAGGTCAAGCCAACCCAATGCGAGCCGACTTTCCTCTGGTGTGAATGGTGTAGGTGTGCGTAACGACGATGAGGTATAGATTAGACGTAGAGTACTCATGTCCACATTAAAATAATACATATACATTTACATGTACATATACATTTACATGTACATTTACATGTACTCAGCAAAACGAAATGAAAAGGTGAAATATAAAATAAATAGTTGGTTTAAGGTGTTGAAACATGTAAAGTCTGCTCGGGAGGTGAATAAGGGGCTATTGCTCTTTTCTTTTTTTTGTTTTTTTGCTCGAGGTAGGTACATGACCCTTATGACCTTACGACCCCTAATATGTCGTGGGGAAAGCGCAACGCTTCTCATAAGCTATAGGTAAGTGCCCAGGTCGGAAGTTTGTGTTATACTTAGGTAGGCACGTTAATGTACCTAATTCTACTTAAACCTGTTTAACTAAACCATCGTCGTAACTATCGCCTTAACCATCGTGTTCAGATGGCAAACTGCACGTAGCCCTCGTCACCATCCACCGCAAACACGCGCACAGCGCGTATCGACGCGACTGGCAACAAGTGCATAACTTTGGGTCTTTTCTTGTTTCTCCTTCTCCTTCTCCTTCTTCCCTAGGCAACGCATAACCATCCAACTCAGTCGCATTACCTGACTTTTCCATTTACACTCATTCTTCTCCCCCTTCCCATCGCATCCCCTTGCAGCGCAGATATCGTCACTCGTTTACACATTTTGCGCAAAGTAATCGCGGACAATCGAAGACGCTACAGGCATACAATCTGAGTACGATGAAGTCTCCTACCAACATCCTTGTGGTGGCACTTGGAGCTGCTGCTGGAGTAGCCAACGCTCAAGGCTTAGTTACCAATTGCACCTGGCAGACGGGCTTCATGTCAGGCAGCTTCCTCGGCATGTACTGCAACAACAACAACTGGGCCGAGTACAGCTACGACTGGACCTGGTAAGTCTTTACTCAAGAAGAGGAAGAAGAAGAAGAAGGAACATTTATCTAGGGTACAATACATTTTTAACTAACACGAAGATGCTTCAAAGGCTTGACACCAACCTCTGCCTAACCAACTACGGCGGCAAGCTCTACCCCTATATTAGGTATCCCATTTCGCCCATTTCGCCCATTTCACCCACTCTCCAATGCGTTTTATCTTGCTGACTTGAATGATAAACAGCGGAAGCTATTGGTCTACGTGCGGCAACTGTGCGGTGCGCGGCAGCAACGTAAACTACATGCTGACTTGTGACTGTCTCGACGCTGACGGTCACTTCACCTCGACCAACTACGACCTCAGTATGCTTACTCCGTTCCCTATTGATAATCTGGCCCATTTATTAACCGCTGTGTTTAGACCGTGTTGTGTGGAACCACGATGGTGTTCTGGGATGCTTCAACCACATCGGCAACAAGACAGAAAATGGTCCATTCTAGTTTGGAATTATAACATAGTATTGTACCCGAAGACCCTACACAGCTGTACATAATATGGGTCTACAATAAGTGAAGATCATAAGCTCTCACCGACCCCTGATACCATATATTAGGTACCTAGGCGTTAGGTAGTTTGTATCGAACGCATGGAGCTATACAGCAAGCAACGTTCCCAAGGCACGAGTGCTTTACTTCTTAGCCGCTAAGATGGCAGCCTCAATAGCTTCTCCCAGAGATTTAGTCGTGCCCTTACCGCCCATATCAGCAGTAATAACGCTCTGGTCTCTCTCCGCGAGCACCGTCTCAATAGCCTGTAGGATCGCCGCAGCAGCGTCTTGGTAACCAAAATGCTGGAGTAGCATCTGTCCCGCCCAGATCATGCCAACAGGGTTAGCGATGCACTTACCAGCAATATCAGGCGCACTGCCGTGCACAGGCTCGAACAGGCTCGGGAATTTCCGGTCTGGGTTGATATTAGCCGACGGCGCAATCCCGATCGTACCCGTGCACGCGGGGCCAAGATCTGACAGGATGTCGCCGAACAAGTTGCTACCCACGACCACGTCGAAGATCTGAGGTCGCTGGACGAAGTGCGCAGTTAAGATGTCAATGTGGTACTTATCCACGTTTACCTCGGGGTATTTGCTCGCCATCTCGCGAACACGAGAATCCCAGTACGGCATAGTGATGCTGATGCCGTTGCTCTTGGTAGCGCTTGTAAGACGCTTCCGCGGCCGGCTCTGCGCGAGGTCGAACGCGTACCGAAGAACCCTGTCGATACCGGTGCGAGTCATCACGGTCTCCTGGATGACAGTTTCTCTGTCCGTACCCTCGAAAATCTTACCTCCGATGCTGCTGTACTCGCCTTCCGTATTTTCCCGTACGATCCAGAAGTCGATGTCTCCAGGCTTTCGGCCGGCCACTTTTTTTGGTTTTCAATGTAACGTTAGTAAGATCATATTAAAGGAAAAGTATCTAAGGAAATATATATTACGCACAAGGACATTCCACACCGGCCAGCAGCCGGCACGGGCGAAGGTTAATATACTGATCGAATTCCCGTCTGAACTTCAACAAGCTCCCCCACAACGATACCTCATCCGGAACCTGGTTCGGCATCCCAACAGCGCCGAAGTAGATGGCATCAAATCCGCTAAGGGTCTCCTTCCAGTCCGGCGGTAGCATGTCTCCGTGCTTCTTGTAAAAGTCACAACTAGCAAAGTCGAAGCTCTGAAAGCTCAAAGAAATACCAAATACCTCAGCCGCCGCTTCGAGACATCGGACACCATAAGGCATCACTTCAGTCCCGATGCCATCACCTGGGATGACGGCAATCTTTAGCGTGCTGCTAGCCATATTTGTTCGTGATGATGATGATGATGATGATGATGCTGCTGCGGTTGTTGTTGTTGTTGTTGTAATTATCGTTATAAATCGTGGGGTGTCGGTCCAAAGGCGGCACAGTTTTGCGAACGTCGCTTGTTAGTGGAGTAAGAAGAAGACAGCAACCAGTGAAAAGAAAGGAAACCCGTCCTTAAGAAGTTTACTTTAGGTAAACATGTTTCTGAACATTGCCAAACCCCGACCTTTTCGGGGTTTGGCAACGTATGTCACTTATCACAATACTTTAGCATTCCACAATGCACTCTATATTATCTCACTAACCCCCTTCATGGCCCTATTCGTCATCTCGGCTTCAGTATATTATCATCTCGCCTTTGATGACTCTTCTATCTAAAAGAGTTAGTTAAGCTAGTTACTTGCACATTTGAAAGCCGCCCGGACATGCGATTATACAAGAGCTTGTTAGCTTGTTATCTTTTTTTTTTGGTCCTTTCCTTTTCCTTTATACCTAACACTATCGCATCTATCCCCTTTCGATTATGCCTCAACATTCTCGAAAAGAAACGATGGCTGACCCGGTACAGCTAACTCGGCGATTGGTGACTTGATTTCAACCTCTCCGCCGTTTATTAGGTCGATTCCCGTTTTGCTGTCCTCGGTTACTAATAAGACATCTACGCCCGACAACCCTGCCGCTCTCTTTAGACCAGGTACCATAGCTGTAATGGTCTTGGACTCATCGAAGGCTAATTTACGTTCCATCACAATGTCGGCCGGCTCTCCATTGCGGAGCCTCTTCTTGAGCAGCTGGACGAATGGCATCGCCTCCTTTACCTTGCCTATCTTAGCAATACGCCCGCTTAGCTCCTTGTCAGTGCACTTCTGCGTCTTGGTCTCCTCATCCCACGTCTCTCTTATGAGATTGATGCACTCATTCTGCCACTTGGGGAATTCGCGAGTTATGAAAATGGTCAGCTTTTTGGGCTTCTTAGGGTCGAAGTTCATTTGTTTTCCCTTGGCCATTTTTTTTATCTGCGCTGATTCGGCCGACGTGATGTTAGACTGTGTCGTGAGCACGTAGGCACGGGCCGCGCTAAGGCCAGCATTCGCCTCGGGCACTACAGGCCATCGGGCTACCTGTATTGTCTGGGTCTCGTGTAGCACCTCGAGCCAGATGTACTCGGACCAATGAGGCGCAATCGGGGCGAGCGACAGGGCTTGGAGCCTCATATATTTAGACACCAGCTCCTTGTTCAGTGGGATCCCGGCGGCTACGCAAGCTGCTCTATAGACGTCTTTTGCGTTAATCAGGTCGTAGAAGCACGACTTGAGAGCCATCTTGTAGTTTGTGTCTTCGTAATGATTCTTCGCCTCCTGTACAAGAGCGTTCATTTCGTTATCGAAAAGGGCGTCTTCGAAGTCATTCAGCTCTGTTCGAAGGTCCTGGCTCTTAGCCATCTCTTCACACCATTCCCTCAGGGTGTGTAGTCGAAGACTAGTGATAACAATATGTTAGTCAACCATACCTTAGCCCCATTTGATGTTTGAGTGACTTACATGGTGTTATCGGCAACGTCCTCGACGAAATTGGAGTCTTGAATGGCATCTCCAGCATCCGCAAGGGCGATACGGGAAGCATCTGCACCGAACTTCTTTACCACTACACCATAATCAGTGACATTTATAGAGAATACATACATAACGCAAACTTACCTTCATCAAGAGTCATGAAGTTGCCAGTACTCTTGGACATCTTTTCGCCATTAAGCTGTAAGTGTCCATTTACTCGAATAGACTTGGGCCAGTATTCCCTAGGGAACAGCGCAATGTGGTTGTAGAGGAAAAATGTTAGATGATTGTTGATTAGATCCTTGCCGCTTGCTCTCAGGTCGAGAGGGTAAAAGTATTCAAATTCGCGGCGCATGGACTCGAGTGTCTCCTTGGGGATCTTCGACTTGGCTAGGAGGTCGTCAGTGAGGCTAGCGCGGCAAAAGATGTAGTCCCAGACTTCGTCAATCATCTGTTCTGGTGCAATGTTGCCAGTGCCCTTTTCCCGCCCGAACAGGTCATTATGGAGGAAATGGGCAACCGTGTAGTAGCTCATGTAGACAGTCGAGTCACTCAAGCTCTCCACCAAAAATTCAGGCGCCCATGGAAGTTTTGAGCCAAGGCCGTACGTCCTGGCGCACGCCCATTGCTTGAGCCAGTCAAGCACACCCAAGAATGCATTGCGTGCGTCGCTCGAATAAGTATTGAGACCATTTCCGTCCTTGTTCTCAACATATTCAGTAGCGATTGTGCGCCACTTATCCTCTCCATAGTCAATATAATATTGCTCCATGAGAGCGACTGTACACTCATCGCCGCTCCTACTAACGACTTTATTCTCAGGTTCTGCGTATTCGAAGGCAAGACCAGCTTCAATCAGTTGAGCTCGAACCTTAGGCTTGGCATCTGCTACTTTTTCACCTTTGAAATCTCCTACCAACATGTGACCCTGGTAGAAACCCTCCTTGTAAGCCAACTCCTTGGCTTCCTTGAGTTGCTTTACATCCTTCGGGGACGCAATCTTTAGCTTTTTGACTAGTTCCAAGGCTAGCAAGTCAGATGTAGGCGTCTGGATGATGGGGATAATATCTAGCTCCGCCCACTCCTTCTTGATCTTGTAATAGTCGGCCTTTTTAGCTAGGTCTGTTATCGTGGCATAGTCATCAGGTGAATCTGAGGGAACACATGTCACGACTCCAGTGCCTTTAGTTTCAAGGATCGACTCCATGGGAAGTACTCGAACTCCATCCTTGTGGAAGCTTAGGGGAGCATTGACCAGCGACCCGATAAGATCCGAGCCATCAATTTCAGCAACCTTCTTGATGACACCTTCTTGGGCGAATATTTCCTGGTAGGCCATGTTCCTAGCGCCCCTTTCCGTCATCACATAATATTCTCCAGGGGCGGCTTCGTAGATGCCGTAGGTAATCTTGGGTGAAACGAAGCAAGCCACTTGTCCGTACATGGTCTCGGCGCGTAGTGTTGCTGGGACTAGATAGACTTTAGCATCGTCGGGAAGTTTTCCCTTTAAGGTGTCCTGGGCTTTGGAAGCAAACTCGAGCACTCGCATCTTGATTGCCACATATAATTGAGGGTTCACTCCTTCTCCTTCACTACGGTCGTGGTCCATGCAAGGCTGTCCATCTTTAATCGAGTAGATCGTGTGACGTTTGCCAAACTTGATCTTATCTAACTCCCTTAGTCGGATCATCTGCCAGCGGACAAACGCATCGAAGTATGGATTGGCATCCGTTGTGACAAATTGTCTGCGCCAATCGATCCTGCTGCCGAAGTTGCTCAAGTCGAGCTTGCAGAGAGGTGGGAAGTACTCGAGCCAATAGGCTGGATCGGCAAAGAGATGTATTTGTTGGACGGGAATACCCATAGCTTGCATTATCTGGAATTGATACTTCATTTTAACGGCCTTCGCGGCAGCCTTGCCTTTCTTTGCGGTGAACTTGGTCACGTCCTCCCGCTCTCTCTGGGCCGGCGCGGCAGCTGCCTGGACCATGGGCTCCCCTTCCTCCTCGTACTTCTCGAACTCTTGGCCGAACATCTCGACCTCTTTGGCGAGTTTGTCGGCGCATGCCTTGATAGGCAAGCCAGTGCAATGATATCCTTGCGGCCATAAGACGTTGATCCCTTTCATTCGAGCATAGCCGACGTGGAATTCGACTTTGCTAAACGAAAAGGCATGGCCGACATGGAGACGCCCATTCGTATAAGGAAAGGCGATAGTTCCGAAGAACTTTGGGAACTTCTCTCGCAACTCAGCAGCGGATATAGAGTGGAGAGGGATATCGGCGGTCGATGGCGCATCAGCATTGAATAGCTTCTGGGTTTCCCATTCTCGCTGGTATTTCTTCTCAATCGCGATTAGGGAATCTCGCTTTTCAGTCCCTCCAGAATACTGTCAGTTTCGCTGCTGTAAAAAAATAAAATTAAATAAAGGAAAAACGTGTCATGCGCTTACCTTTAAGATCCTTGAGGGTTGCATTATGCAGCCCTTCCACGATCTTGATGGGATCTGCCATGGTGAAGTTGCCTTATCCCTGCTGTTGAAATCTTTGGTGATAAGGTTGCGAGGTTGCGATGAAGAAAATACCTTTCAATCCCAAACTGTTAGAAAGTTTCGAGTCATACCTTTAGATTAGGTACGTGGGAAGGAGGGGCACTGGACAGACTGGGGTACGGGGGCAGGAGGGGCAGAGGGGTAAACACCTTTAAAGTACTATCGCAAGGGTCCCTCAAATACTATGCGCTAAACGGGTGAATACGTATTCCTACCTAAGATGTTATGGGTCCACCTGTGGATACTTGGTCATTTGCGTACTTAACTACCGTATTTTCTAAGAAATAATTACTATTAAAGCACGGATTACCTGTAATAATGGTTAATTAATTAGTACGTGTGTAATAATTTAATTTTACGTATAATATTTATTTTTAATAAGAAAAATTATTTTTAATAAGAAAATTTATAAATATATAATTTATTATTTATTAAATTAATTATTTTCGTTTTTTATTTAATAAAAAAAGTTTAAAAAAATTATTTTATTTTTTTAATTAATTAATTAATTCGCTTTTATTCCCGTTTATTTTTAATTAATATTAATAATATATTATATTAAAAAAATTATTTTTTTAAAACGTTTTTTTAAATAACTTATTAATAATAACATTAAAAAATTATTATTATAATAAATAAGTGTAAAGTATTTTAATATTATAATTAATATAATTTTATATATTATAATTATTTTTAAATTATATAAATTTTATTTTTTTAAAATTAATAATTATAAATGTTAATAAGTATATACATAATGTGAAAGTAAATAATAATGAAAGTAATTAATAACGGAGTAAAATTAATGTATTATTAATATTTAAAAAAGTAAAGTAAATTAAAGAAAGACAAAAAAAATTATTTTTATATAATTTAAAATATATAAGTACTTTTTTTTATTAAATACGTACTATAACGGGATACGCATATATATTATATAATTATTTTTTATTTTTTTGCAATTACTTAATTGCAAATTTAATTATTTAAAAAGGTTTTTATTATAATATTTATTTTTTAATTTTTATATAATTATTTTAAAGTTATTAAATTAATTATTAATTTCTTTTTATTAATGTTATTTATTTGTACTAAGTATTAATATAAGGAAAAAAAGTTAATGTATAAAATAATAAATAATAAAGTTAATATTAAAACTTTAAACTATTTTATAAATTTTATTAATAAGTATATTATAAATAATGTACTTATATTTAGTAAATAATTAGTAAATAATATTTTTAATAACTTAAAACTTATTATTTTAATTAATAAGTTTTTTATTATTAATAAATAATTTGTTAATAAATATATATAATTATAAGCTTTAAGAATTTAAATTAACGTAATTAAATTTACGTATTTAATTATTTATTTACTATTTAATTTTAGCGTTAAAAACTTTAATTTTTTTTATGGTTAAGTTTAAAATATTAAGCTGCCGTTAAATAATTAAAAGTAATTTCGGGCTAATATATAAAAAAAATATATGCTTTTTAAGCCCTTTATTTTATAAATTATTTAATTATATTTAGAAATTTTATATTTAATAACGTTAATTTTTTAATTTAACCCTTTTAAATAATAATAATTCCGTAATTTCTATTATAAACAATAATATAAAAGCTATTAAAATCCTTAATTCCATTATCTAATATTTTTAAAAACATACTTTAATTCCAACCTTAATAAATATTTTATTTTTAATGGTAAGAAATTTTATTATATTTATATTAATAATAATACAAATTATTTATAACTTAAATATTATTATTTTTTAATATATTATTATATTATATATTTTAGATTATAGGATGTCCTTTTTAAATAAAGCGTTTAAATTCCTTTATATTTAATGCTTTGTACAGTTTTCCTAATATAATTATTTTTTTATCCGCTTAAAATTAAAATGTTAAATTAAGGTTATCCTATTTTTTAATATTAACATATAAAGTAATAATTTGCAATAAGTTATTAACATATATAAGGTCCCTTTTTAAAATAATTTAATAATTATATAGATTAAATATAAACTTAAGTAATTTAATTTTAATTTCTTTTAATAAAACTAAGTTCTTTTTAAATTAAATATAAAATTTAATATATAAACTTTAAAAAATAAATATTTTACTTAACGCACTTAAGATAATAATGATATTTTTATTAATAATTATAATAACCTTATAAAGTATTTTTTAACTGCCTTTTTCTTTGTAAATAAATACTTTATTATTAATAAAAAGAAACATAAAGAAAGTTACTTTAATATTAAAGCTATTATAAGTGTTTAAGGTATTATAAATGGAGCATTATAAATTAATTTTTTTAATTTCCGTTATTGCTTTTTAAATTACTTATATTTTTTAAATTTATACAATAATAAGTAATAAATTTATATTAATTTTTAAATAAATATTAAAAATTAAAAACGTTAAAATAAAATTATTCGGGTTAATAATATTTTAATAACTATTTAAAAATATAATACTTTTAAATTAAAACCTTTAAATTTAATAATAATAATTTTATATACTTTATAAATAAAATTATAATATTTTTTAACCTTTTTAATAAATTAATATACTTTTATTAATACTTAATAATAAGTAATTTTTATTATTTATACTTTATTTGGAATTTAAGGCTATTAAAGTTTATGCTTATATTATAAGAAATAACGTTAAAAGGGCTTAAATAGGTATTAATTTAATATTTTTTTAATATTTCTTACATTTTTTTAATAATAATATTTTTTATAAACCGTATTATTTAAAAACTTATGGCCGTATTAATAACATATAAAATCAGTTTTTTATTTAAATATATAATATTAATAATCATTTTATAATTAAATTTTATATTCAGATTTTTTAAAATAAACTTAAATTATTAAAAAGCTTTACCTTTAATTTAATAATAATAATAAAATTTATTAATTTTTTTAAAATTATTTATATTAACGTTATAATTAACTTCATTTAAAAAATTATATAATTTATCAATTAATAAATAACTAAAACATATATATAAACATTATAATTCCGTTTTTATAAAATAAGTAACATTTTTAAATTAAAATTATAAATATCCTTATTTCCTTTTAATATTAACTATTATACCATTCTTATATATTAATTAATTAATAATATTATTAAGGTATATTCTTAATTAATTTATATCTTTAAATAACAAAAAAACAAAATACTTAACTTTATAACATAAAAATTTATATTATTAAAAAAAAGTAATAATACAATAATAATGTTACGAACTAACATCTATTAGAAACGTACTAGTTTAGGTAATAGGAGCGGGGTTTTCCAGGGTAACGGATAAACTTTAGTTATGGTTACGATTTCATATGATTTAATTAATTTGATTAAATTAATTAAATCACCTAAATCAATTATATTATAATATCCTTAAGAAAATAAGATAAAAAGAACTATTAAGATTATAAAAGTTAATATATATTTAATTATTTATTTACGTTTTTTTAATTATTAATTTAAATCTTATATTTAATTTATATAAAAAGAAAGATTTTAAACCTTTTTAATAAATATTTATAATATTATATTAATATTTAATTTATATTATTATTATTTATTTAAAATTAAAACCTTAATTATTATATTTTAATAATTTTTTAATTAATATTATTATTAATTAGATATAATATAAATTTTAATTTTAATAATAATATCTTTTTATTTATTTAAATTGATTATAGTTTATTTATCTTAAAATATTTATTAAATAAATTCTTTAAAAATTAATTTTTAATAAAAGTTAATTAAGTAAAATAACGTAACGAACTTAATATATTACTTTTTAATTATATTTTAAAATTAATTAATAATATGATTTTAATAGAGATTAGATTTTAAGTAGGATTATTTAAGGAAGAGGTAAAGGAAATTACCGAAATTATTAATAAAGGAAAAGAAAAGCCTAAATTAAAGAAGATAAGATAAACCTTTTAGGAAAAGGACTTTAAGGAATATATAAAGTTTATTAAGCATTTAAAAACGAAATGAATATTTTAAAAAAAGAATTAGCCAAATTTAAGATTAAAAAGGATAATAATGATAATAATAATAAGGATCCTAATTTATGCCTTATATGATAAGACCTTATGGTCCTATTATTATTTAATAAGGGATTTAAACCTTTTTTATTATTTAAATATAATAGTATTATGGATATAAAAGCTTAATTTAACGTAATTAAGTTTTATTTAACCTTTTTTCGAGTTAATTTTAATAAAGATAAATATAAAGTTTTAGTGGTGTGTTAGTACTTTAAGGGAGGTGCTTTTAAATAATTTTAATTTATTATAAATAATTATTTAAACGAAATTTAAGAAAAGATAAAAGAATTTAAATATGTTTTTAATAAGTACTTTAATTTTGAAGATAAAATGTAATTAATATTCGGAAATTTATTTAAAAAAGAAAATATTTATAAAGTTATTTAAAACTTTAAATAAATTAAAAAAGCTTTAAAATATGTTATTAAATTTAAATAATTAATAATAATAATTTAGCTTTTTAAAGATATTTAATTTAATTATTTTTATAAAGAATTAATTATATAAGTTAAAAATAAAATTTTAAAAGAAAAAAGATTAAGATATATTAACGAATATATTAAATATGTTATTATTTATAATAAAAGATTATATAAAAGGTTTTAGGAGAAAAAGATTAAGAAGCTTATTTTTACTTATATTAAAAAAGAATTTAAAAAAATAAGCTTTAATATTATTAAAATGGAAAAACTTAAGAAGAATATGGTTAAAATTAAATATTATAATTATAATAAAATAGGATATATATTTAAAAATTGTAAGATATTTTAAAAATAACTTAGAATATTAAAGGAATAATTTAAGCCTTAAATAGTAAGAGTAATATCTTTAAGAGCATTTAATATTTAAATTTTTTAAATAGTTTAGAATATTGAAAATTATATTATTATTAATAATTATTATTAGTAAAAGAACCTTTATAAATATAATTATTGGAATTGTTCGTGCTATTTTAATGATAATAAAAGAAGGTTAAAAGATTAGTTTATATTATAA